CTCAAAATTCCAACTGACCTCTTTTATTCCTAAAACATTCTAAAATGTTGGCTTCTGGTTCCCTATTTCTGAAAGAGGAGGTTTCTCTCTACCAGATTTAAGACTATATTATGAGGCATCCTGCATCTGTTGAATCCAGGAGTGGGTGACATTAAAAAATACAGACCTGTTAGATCTAGGGGGACATGATAATAGATTTGGATGGCATGTGTATTTATGGTACGATAAAATCAAAGTACGCAGGGGTTTCAGAATCATATTATAAGAAAATCCATTATTAAAGTCTGGGAGAAATATAAAGATATGTTAGAACAAAAAACACCATGGTGACTTTCGCCACTAGAAGTACCGTATTTTTCGCCCTATAGGGCGCACCTAGTTTTTTGGGGGGGAAATAAAGAAAAAAAATTTATTGCACCCCCAGGCCCGAGCTTCCTCCGACCCCAGCCCCCAGAACAGGCTGCTATCCACAAGCCTAGGGAGCCCGGCGGGAACTCCCGCCGGGCTCCCCAGGTTTGCGGATAGCTTCCTGAAGCCTGGAGTGAGAGGGATCGGTGCGCACCGACCCTCTCTCGCTCTCTCCAGGCTTCAGCGAAAGCCTGCATTCGCCCCATAGGACGCACACACATTTCCCCTTCATTTTTGGAGGTGAAAAGGTGCATCCTATAGGGCAAAAAATACGGTAATTTCGTTGAAGAAAGTAAATATGAGGAGGAATTTGCCAACTTATAGAGCTGCTAACAGAAGTAGAAAATGAGGTAAAATTAAAGGAATTTGAAGAGGTGAAAGAACAAGTATCAGATTGGTTGCAATACTTTCAACAAATATAAAAAAGAATGGGAAATGTTTATTATGTATTTACAAAATTATTGTAAACAGGTGAAAACATTGGTAGGATTTTAGGAACACTTGTAATTTAAGGAGGATTTATAGGTAATACGGGGTGTAAAAAGCTGGATGAGTATTGATTTGCAGTTGAAAAGAAAGTCTGAAGTAACGAGGGACAGGATGGGGGGGAAATCACACGATTCATAGAATCTCAAGTTTTGGATTTGATGTTCATTTGGATTATCTTTTTCTCTTTCTTTTCTATTATTTTTTTTCTGTTATGAATCAATACAAAATTTAAAAACCATAATTCCAACCGCCTCTTTTATTCCTAAAACATTCTAACATGTTGGCTTCTATTCCATTTCACTCTGCCTTAATGGAGGCAGCCCCATGACAGTGGGAGATCATAGGCGAAGGAAAAACAAGAATGATTGAAGGTAAATCAACATTGCAAATTTCCCCCAGGGATGGGGGGGAATGGGCTTCACTCGCAGTTCGTCTCGATACCTGGCTCTTGCTCTGGCATGGAATGCAGGTGGTAGGGAGGCATTGAGTGCAAAAGCACCTCACCTGGTGAAAACCCTCCAATGCTGCCATTAAGAAGCAGAAGTTCTCCTGTTAATTAGAGCTTAATTGGACTAAAGTACAGGTGCATGCTGGAAGGGATGAGATCACAAACTGAAGAACAAATCAACTGCAAGGACTTTAAGGTCTGAATTTGGGATAAGACTTCATTCGGTGCAAAAGACAGTGGGGTGGATGGGAGCCTACGGTTTCTTTATTTAAAGTTTTCTTCTCTATATTTATGATTCGGCAACCCTCCTCTGAATGTTAGTTCAAATTAAATTTGTACAAGTGAGGAGGGAAGAACTTGGATTATAAATATGGAATATAACGTCAAAAAGAACTGTGTATGTAAAAAGGAAAAAGGGAGAGAAGCTCTATTTTGCAAAACGTTTACGATGGAAACTTAGAGCTGACTCTACCCCATCCTTTATTATGTATGAAGTGAACTGAATAATGCTAAGAGGATTTGGAATTTAATGTAATTGGAAGGATACTTGGCCCTATATCTTCAGCTGGAAGGAAGGGTGAAAGGGGTCTGTGAAGGAAATGCTAATGTTCTTTATTGAGTCATCTGCAGTTTGATAGAGCAACTCTTCTTCCCAGTCTGAGGGGGAAATGGTGACAAGTCTATTTACTGGGACAGATCGACTTTTGCAGCTGTTGTTAAAGTTCTCAGTGCAAAAAAAAACGAAGCATGGGATGGAGCGATGGAGAAATTTCTGGAACAACAATGGGATATCAGCTCCGCCAAGGCATGATGGATAACAGCAATAATTGGGAAAAGAAAAACATAACATCTTACAAGGACAGGCAGAAACACCATGGACAGAATAATTGTCACACAAAGGAAGAACAAGGATATGGTTTGAGTTCCTCACTTGTAGTTTTATAAATCATTTAATTGTCAACACGAATAGAAGTTATTAATATTGCAGTTGTTGTATAAGAGATTATTATTATGACCAGAATATAATTGAAACTAATAAGATTTTGGAACACAGAAATAAAGAAAACATCAAATCATCAGATCTAGCATGCGGAGGCCAACTTAACTAAATTATATAATTTGGTATTTGAATGATTGGTATTAATAATTATTTTATAAATTGGTATTGTTATAATGAGTATATTATTGAATGATGTGGTTATTATTGGTATAATAGTATAGTGTCCAGATCAAGGGAAGTAATAGTTCCACTCTATTTTGCCTTAGTCAGACCACACTTGGAATACTGTGTCCAATTCTGGGCACCACAATTTAAGAAGGATGTTGACAAGCTGGAATGTGTGCAGAGGAGGGCAAAGAAGATGATCAAGGGTCTGAAAACCAAGCCTTATGAGGAGTACTGGAAGGAGCTGGGTATGTTTAGCCTGGAAAAGAGTAGACTGAGATGAGATATGATATGATAGCCATCTTCAAATATCTAAGGACTGTCACATGGAAGAGGGGGCATGCTTGTTTTCTCCTGCTCTGAAGGTAGGAATTGAACCAGTGGCTACAAGTTGCAAAAAGGGAGATTCCGACTAAACATTCGGAAAAAACTTTCTGACAGTAAAAGCTGTTCAGCAGTGGAACAGACTCCTACAATGGTGGTGGACTTTCCTTCCTTGGAGGTTTTTAAACAGAGGTAGGATGGCCAACTGTCATGGATGCTTTAGCTGAGATTCCTGCATTGCAGGGGGTTGGACTAGATGACCTTTGGGTCCCTTCAACCTCTATGATTCTATGATCCTAACAGTAGGCTAGCCAGCATCCAAAAAAGTGCTTTTAAAAATGAGTTACTGATGGTGTGTTGAATCAGAAACCTATGTCAGATCAATAGTGAACAGGGTGGCAAAGGAGAGCTGGTTGGTTGTAGGTCTTTTGGCTACTTTTAGGGGAATTGTCACAGCTCTGAAAAGAATAGACTAATCTGGACATACCATTCACCAAAATCACAGTAAAGAGGAATGCTCCCAAATGTATTAATGGAATTCAGTTTTTAATGACTGACTGGGGATGAAAGCTGCAGATATAATGCAAAAACATGGCTTTGGCCTGCAGAACAATTTTAAACAACCTATACAGCTACCTGAAGCCTATTATCTATTTGGCAGCTAACTCATAATGTGCTGCATGAAATGCCTAAATTTGATCACCTACCACAAGTAGTGTTCCTCTGTCAATTTTCCCAGTTTAACTCTGTGGTTAAACTATGGAATTTACTCGTACAGGAGACAGGGAATTTAATTCATGGAGTTAAATTCTATGAACGACTACTGGCCGTGACAGGTCTGCTTCCACGTTCAGAGGCTGCATGCTTCCATATGTTGGTTGTTGGAAGCCACAGAAGGGGAGAGTGCTCTTGTGGGTCCTGCTTGCGGGCTTCCCACGGGCATCTGATGAGAACAGGATGCTGGACTTGGTGGGCCATTGGGCTGCTCCAGCAGACTCTGCTTATGCTTGGTAGCCCATCTGTGAAGGACACTGACAAACTGGAACGTGTCCAGAGGAGGGCAACCAAAATGGTCAAAGGCCTGGAAATGATGCCTTATGAGGAACGGCTAAGGGAGCTGGGCATGTTTAGCCTGGAGAAGAGGAGGTTAAGGGGTGATATGATAGCCATGTTCAAATATATAAAAGGATGTCACATAGAGGAGGGAGAAAGGTTGTTTTCTGCTGCTCCAGAGAAGCGGACACGGAGCAATGGATCCAAACTACAAGAAAGAAGATTCCACCTAAACATTAGGAAGAACTTCCTGACAGTAAGAGCTGTTCGACAGTGGAATTTGCTGCCAAGGAGTGTGGTGGAGTCTCCCTTCTTTGGAGGTCTTTAAGCAGAGGCTTGACAACCATATGTCAGGAGTGCTCTGATGGTGTTTCCTGCTTGGCAGGGGGTTGGACTCGATGGCCCTTGTGGTCTCTTCCAACTCTATGATTCTATAATTCTATGATCTCCCACGTTCATTGTGATGCATAATCAGTCCGTTACTTTCAGAACTGCAACAATTTACCTGAATTTAATGCTAAATCTTGCCATGCGATGGTGTGTGATATTGAAAATGATAATCAAGGTCATTTTTGAGAGTGGCATTTAGCCACTTCTTCTCTGTCACTCTGTGTACAATTGATCTGGCATGGGTGCCCACTTTTTACACACCAGTGCCAGTACAGGTAAAAATAATATTGCAGTTGGCTATGCCAGGTTTTTCTCTGCTTATCTTTCCGCTTTAGCCACAGCGATTCATTTATTTAAGATAACGTCTCACTTTTACGCATGTGATTTATACCCTCTCGGTTACAGATCTTTCTTTCATTCCATTTTCCTGTCTTGATATAAGATGGCTGTTTTCCTTTGTCTTTCTTTTCATTTTCTCATGCTTAGCATTTCTAAAGCTGGTAAGTTGCCTTAAGTAGGCACTCAATCTGTTCTACCTTCTTTTTCTTTATCGTGTGAGGGTTTTTTGGGGTGAAGGACCTCTGTCCTACCCTACATGTATTCATTATAAACTCTGAAGGCAGCCTATCATGTGTTCATTGTGCTCCTGTGAACATCTGAAAGGGGCCTGAGTTATGCTACAATGTCTTTCTCCTCAAGTGAATCTCTTTTGATTCTTTTATTCATGCTACCACACCGTATTGTAGAAATGTATCTGTATGTTTCTACAGTCCATATTTTCTTGTCAATCTATACTTCTACGGCTTCAACTGGCATTTGTTGTATTGGTTAGCTATTTTATTATTTATTTATTATTACATTTATATCCCATTTCCCCCTAAGTAACTCAAGCTGCCGTACATGGTTCTCCCCTCTTCCCATTTTATCCACAAACAACCCTGTGAGGTTGTTTAGGTTAAAAGACAGTGGTTTCGTACACTTGAAATGTTGCAAGGTCTCTCTCTCTCACACACACATACCCCACAGCACAATAAAAATTGCTCCATATTATATACATTGGTACACTTTTATATGTTTCCACATTGAATGCTGTCTGTTCACACCAGTGGGTGGAGCAGTTTTTACACTTTACAAGGTTGGTTTCCTTGCAACTCCAAACCTCCCTACTCTGAAAACGTCTCCATGTGGTTGCCATATTTACAGCTACACCATTATATATCTATCAGGTACAATGTCCTAAAAGCCTAGGACAGAAATTTTTTTTTAAAAAAATAATCTTTGTGAAGTGAACATGATTGGAGCTCTGCCCAACACATCTTTCATTATACTTTGAAGAGGCAATAGTGGCTTATCTTAACCAGAGATTATTGGCCTTACATAACTGGACAAATTTTAAAATTAAAGCAAAGTTTTTGGTGTGAACATACATGAGCTAAATGAGGTGGCAGGGGTCACTGCTGCCTCAGTACCGTGTCTGCCAAGGAATTCAACTGACAATGAAATCCTCTCAAGCATTCAGCTGTTCCACCAATATATTCATTTCACTTCCTACCTCTCAAATGAAATAGTCCTTCTACCCCATAAACATCTTTTAGGATGGTTTAATTTTGAAATGTACAGTTGTATCTATGCAGCTGGGTACTTTCATGGTGAAGGAGAAGACTTGCAACAAGAGCTGGCAAGAACCATAATGTGAAATTATGTTTGTATCTACCTATCCTTATCCGTAACAGAACCTAAGATGAGTAACTGAAACAACTACACATTGCTTCCTATGTACCCTTCCTCTGTTGTTACCCATGTTAAAGCTTAGATTGCATACCCCTTGGGGCTGTCCTCTTGCAACTTTCTGCCATGTCTTCTGGACTGGTTGTGCATATGTATGTTATGCATGGGGCAATGTAGCCATGCTCTTTATAATATTTAACAGGTAGATTGGTGAGCATTATCTTAGCTGCATTTTACTTTTGGTCTTCGTTGGTAATGGCAGTTTAAATTGTTGTGTTGTGCGCAGAGATAATTAGTGATGGGGGTTGGGCTCCACATTCTGTAAATAATAAATAAACAAAACTATGCATACTGATGGTACTAGAAAAGCAACTGGGCAGTATCTCTCTTTAAAGAAAAACATGGTTTTGCATAAGCAAGCCTGTAATTATAGCACAAACATCAATGAAAGTACTTGGGCAGTAATTTCTTGCATTATATGCCACACAGTAGAAGCTGAGATTACTAAATTGAGGTGGAACTGCATGAGAATTGAATGGTGTGGCACCTTCAAAGTTCTGTAACTTTAATGGAGTTCGAATCATAGCCCCAGATTTCAACACCATAGAGCAGTGGTTTTCAACCAGTGTGCCATGGCACCCTGGGGTGCCTTGAACGATGGTCAGGGGTGCTGTGGGCAACACTGGCCTCTATCCCTCTTCCTTACCTCACTCCTCTGATGCCCTCTCGCGTCTCTGCCCCCCAAAGGCTTGGCAGCTGTTTGTTCCAGCAGCCCTGGCTACAAGCTCCCCAGGCGAATGGTGCCTCTGGAGCAGCCCAGGGGGTGTTTCCTAGGCTCCTGTGGGGCAGTGTGAGGGGGCACCTCTCTTTGGGGCAGGGGGGCAGCTCAAAGACTGGGGTGCAGCAGCGGCTTCACAGAGGACTCCAACAGAGAGGGGAGAAGAGAGGAGTCTGAGGGAAGATTTCACAAGGGAGGGTGTTTGAAAAAGGGTGAGAAGCTGCTAGCTCTGCAGGCAAGGGGTGACATAACTGGGCTCCTGAGCAGGGCCGTCTTAAGCATATCAGGCGCCATGGTGCAAAGATCCCTCCGGCACCCCCCCCCCCATTTCCCTTTTTAAGGGGGGAAACCCCAAAGTTGTTGACCTTTTTAAGAAAATTTTCCCCAGAGTAGTTGACCTTTTTTTTAATCTCTGACAAGCCCTTAGAACAAAATAAAATGAAAAGGCAGAAGAAAATCTAGTAAAGTCCTCAATTCCAAAGCAAGACTGATTCAAGACACCAGTTCTTCTAATTCATCCTCATGATTCAAATCACCACATATCAAAAAGTTAAAGCAGCCACCAGTTTGCTGGTCTTTAAATAAATTAATAAAGACACAGACAATGAAGTTCCCAGCCAATTTGTGTTTAAGTACAAAGCTGACGTCTTCAAATATTGTGGGGGGTGGGTGTGGGTGTAAAACAGTGACATCCTGAACCTAAAAAGGACCCAAAACATGGGTCACAAAGGCTGCAGCCCTGACTGCATTTACCTAAGAGTAAGCCCTGCTGAATCTAATAGGACCTTACTTCTGCGTAGACAGTAGGACTGCAGCAAGAAACACAGCTGGGAATTAGGGCTTTCTGTTTTAAGTCTCAACCAGGGGAAAATGTAATATTGGTGATTAGGGAGAAAGGAATATGAATAGATTGGGGGGGAGGGACGGACGAGAGACCAAAAACCACAGGTAGCAAGACAAGGCACACTTTCTGGGGAGCAAGGCTCACACACAGTTGCTTGGGGCGAGGACTGCAGAGGGACCATAGTTGGGTTTTGCATGTGTGTTTTTCAGAAAAACGTAGAATTGGAAGGGACCCTGCGGGTCATCTAGCCCAACCCCCCTGCAATGCTTTTTAGCTTGCATTGATCTCAAAAACCTTTGCAGCCCAGGTAGAGGAGGAAGAAAGTGGGCGAATTGGGGGCGCCTCTCTTCTTCTTTGCCATTGCCCGCCTCCCTCTTCACATAGGGCCAGCCGCCTCACAGCAGAACAGAGCACGAGGCAGCAACTGAGCAAAGCCAGGCGCCTGGGTGCATGCGCCACTGCGTCAAGCGAGGGTGCGTGCGCCGCTCCTGCTGAGCGTTGGCTCGGTTTTTTCCCTTTTAGCCTTCTGCCGCCCTGTAATAGAACTTCCTCAGTGCCCCTATAGTTTTATGTGCTTTGACTTTCATTGCCTAAATATGACAATTCCAAGCACCCAGATATCTAAGTGAGCAAGTCTGTCCTATAGCTTGCACCATTTAAATCTAGGGCTGTGTTTGCTAAAAATCACAATCTTGGTCTTAGAGTAAGTTATAGATACCTTTTCCTGTTTACAGTATGTGCTGATCACTTTCAAGAGTTTTTTGAGGTCCAGCCGGGAAAGGGAGAGGAGCACTAACTCATCTGTCTACATCAAGACTTTGATCTTTCTATTCCTAATTACTGGAGAGGTGAAATTTTCTTCTTCATCATCATCACCATCTTTGTTTATTAATACCTTGCCCATCTGGCTGGGTTTCCCCAGTCACTCTGGGCAGCTCCCAACAGAATATTAATAATAATGATAAAAAGCGATGAAACATCAAACATTAAAAACCTCCCTGAACAGGGCCGCCTTCAGATGTCTTTTAAAAGTCAGATAGTTGTTTATTTCCCAGACATCTGAAGGGAGGGGGTTCCACAGGGAGGGCGCCACTACCAAATCATTACTATCAAAGTTTTTAAAAAGTGGGAGCCAGGATGCAGCCTTGCTTCACCCCTTCACCTTGCCTTTCACTGTCTTTAACCAATGAGTGAATTCAGAGGTGCTACTGATGAGTGTTTATTTCGGACACTAGGCAACAGTAATCCATGGAGCTCTAAATATCTGTTTTGCCTTTTAGTGCTTTATTTGGCAGGCAAAATAAAGGACAGGTTGGTGAGGGGGGGGTGATTGAGGGCTTAAAATTACTTTACCTGGTGCAGAAATGACTTCAAACAAACAAACATTAAAGGGGAGAAGAGAGGGCAACAAATTCTACTGCTCTTCCTCCACAGAGCTTTGCTTCCAAGCTCCTAACAGGGTTTGCAAAACCCTTCAGAGGGAGATGTGAACCAGGATTTATTCAATTGGGGAAGGGAAAAAGAGGATAGGAAGCAAGAGGAATGCATTATATATATATATATAATTTATCACATTAAATAGGGTTGCCATATTTCAAGAAGTATAAATAATCCAGACACAAAAAAATGTGGAGCTTTTTTTTGGGGGGGGGTTGTCGTCCACTGTCTGCCTGATCCCTTACCCAAAAGGATCCAGCCCACCCTTCCGCTTTGGCACAGCCCCAAAATGTAAATAATAATGATAAAATAAACCAACCAACCACAAAAACCTGGATATTTCATGTAAAAAAATCCCCCTGGTCCCCCCCAAGCCTGGGAAGTCTTGAAGCAACAGATGTGGACGGGCTGCAATAATGTAGCTAAGTCAAACGTGAGCCATTAAAAGTCTCTCTCAGACTTGTTTCTGGCTCCACACAGTCTCAACCCCTAGCTCTGTTGCACTCCCTGGCCGCTGAGGGAGACAGGGCAGAGGATGGAGGCTACTCTCTCCTCCATAGCCCTCCGTAGACATTTCATTTCCCTTCCTTCCCTCTCTCGAATCTCCTCAGGCTCCCTCCTCTCTCTTGGGCCTTCAAGTCTCCTCAGAATCTCCTCAGGATTCCCTCCAAAATCTTCTGAGGGAGAAGCCTTCCCTCAGCTCCCTTCTGCAGTTGCACCAGGCCCCTCACAAGCGGCTGAGCCACATAAGTGTTTTTTGTCAATTTTAATCACAAGCTCTTTTGACTACTTCAGATGAGAAGTGTGAAATAAATCCATGAAATAAAATTATTATCAACAAAATTAAGCTCAACGGCTGAGGCTTGAGCTAGTGGTTCGTGTCTTAAAATGGAAGCATACCTCTCCCTCACTTTATATTCATTGAGACACCAGATTTAAAAACAACACCTTTTCTGTCAGGTTTTTTTTGGGGGGAAGGGGGGGGTCGAAAGGTTAAGACATATTTGACCTTCACCACTGTTAATTGTGTTATTTGTTCTTTTGTTTTTACCATGTGAGCCGTTTTGAGTCACTTGACTGTAAAACAATGCAACATCATTTGTGTAATTTGTGAGAATGTTTCTTCCTTATGTTATCTTTGCTTGTAAATATCACCTTATTTTGTTGTCCATCGCTCTGAGACCATTTCTGGTGAATGCAGTATAGAAATACAGTGGTGCCCCGCAAGACGAATGCCTCGCAAGACGGAAAAACCGCTAGACGAAAGGGTTTTCCGTTTTGAAGTTGCTTCGCAGGACGAATTCCCCTATGGGCTTGCTTCGCAAGACGAAAATACCTTGCGAGTCTTGAGATTTTTTTCGCTTCCCCCTTTATCTAATCTGCTAAGCCTTTAATAGCCTTTAATAGCCTTTTAGCAGCTAATCCCTAAGCCTTTAAGCCTTTAATAGCCGCTAAACCGCTAATAGCGCTAATAGCGCTAATCCGTCAATGGGCTTGCTTCGCAAGACGAAAAAACCGCTAGACGAAGACTCTCGCGGAACGGATTAATTTCGTCTTGCGAGGCACCACTGTATAGTAAATAAATAAAGACTAGGAATTTTTTTGATAATAAGTAACATGGAATGCTCTCTCCAGAGAGGTTCAGCTGGCGCCTTCATTATATATTTTGACGCCGGGTGAAAATCTTCTTTAACCAGGCCTGATTGGCTGATTGATATCTGATACACTTTAAAAATGTGTGACAGAAGGGAGGATTATTGGGTTGTTCTTGTTTATTTTTATTATGTATTTTCTGTTTTTATATTGTGGTTTTATGTTGTGAGGCCTGCAGGTGTAGGGCAGTATACTAATAATAATAATAATAATAATAATAATAATAATTGCTGCATTCAAAACATTTGTGGAAAGAAATCAAGGGTTGTATTCAAAGTCAGACCAATTTAAATGGGCTTATGCTGCACAGAATATAGTTGGAGAGAAGGCCTTGTAGACATTTTGGCAATTTGATGTAAGATCTGAGGGAAGCCATACGGGATACAATTGTGATTTGTTGTTATTTCCTTAAACTAATGGTATTGTGTCATGTGTAATGATTGCTTATATTTTTTTTCCTAAAAAATGATAACAAGAGACCTGGGGGGAAAGGATGGTGAGAGTAAGCGCTTCAAAATATATATGGCTTTTTTTTCAGAGTGGTGAGTTTTTACCTGACACAAAGGCCACAGCATTAGAACGGGGTGCATAATGTCTTCAACTTGCAAATCAATTAATTTTGCAGCAATACAATTAAAAAGGCAAAATGTTGTGATGTAATAACATATTTTTTATTTTACGGCAAAGCAACCAGTGTTCACGAGTCTTCCCTTACCCTGGGTTACAGTAAAGGCACCCAAAATCAACAGAAAAAACTACAGTTAGCAGACCCCGGTTAAAAGGAAGTTGCGGTTCGCATTATGAAACCTGATTGGTAATAAAGTTATGAAATTTGTAGAAGGAAAGCGTAGCGGCAGGCACTGAAGATTGTTCTCAGCTGATCCAGCTTGCCAATCTGAAAAAGGCAATAAAAAACGAGTGAAATAAGGTTGGGTATTTCCTACATGTGCATACATAAATTTCACCTTGTTCGGTAGTTAATGACTCCAGCACAAGAACACGACATCAAGTGTTAACATAATAGGTGAGGCAGCTGCACTACACCTTTGGAGCCTATGGGATGAATAAGATGCTTTTCTTTCACAGAGACTCAGGCTTAATTCCTCAACATCCTGACTAGGGAATGGGACTTGATGAACATGGCAGGAATTTCATCTGAGGAAACAAGATACAGGATTGCACTGAACTTTACCTGCATGGCTCTTCTTTTGAAACAGACTTATCTACATTTCCAAGTTACATTTTTTCACATATCTGAAGAGACATTGGCATATGTGTTGTAAGATGCATACAAATATTTAGGGAGGTGACAGGAATAGCAGGCTGGTCTTGTGCATACATTTTTTGTTGCCTGAGGCAGAGCAGCAAATGGAATTGCTCCCCAATTCCAGGTTTAAAGTACCCAACGATACTTTAGGTAGAAAAATCATCCTAGTGTGTTTCCCTCTCCCTAATTCTGGTCTCTGGGGCCAGAACTTGGTTTTTTAAAAAAATAATAATGGATAAAACAAATGATCCCCAAATCAAGACTTCTGCTTTGTCAATAATTCCTGTGGAAGTCAGTAACTGGGAATCAGATATACGTTGTGTCTTGACAAGATTCAGAAATATAACTTTGCTTATGCTTTTTATATCATGATCTATTCAGGTTTGTGGGGGGGGGGATTAACTAGCATTACTCTTATACGTATAAATATTTCCCTCTGTGTGTTAAAACATTGCTCTGCACAATGTTTAAGCCCCACAGCACCTATGGACATGCAGTAAAAATTCAGGATCAGCAGGCTGTCATCTTGACATCAAACCTGACCCAAGAGGAGATGGGGATATGTGTAATAATATTATTTCCATTAATTTATTGCCCACCCTTCACCATGAAGTCCCTGGGTGGGTTACCATAACAAAAAATACAATATTTAAAAAGTTACAAGGAAATACAGACAAGAGAACAGTGTACTATAGGTGGAGGTTTTCTTATTAGGTTTACAACAGTATAGCCCACCATGACATCCTCCAGGTAGCATTTAGGATTCATGCCTAAATGCTTGATAGAAACTTCTGGTACAGAGAACAAAGTATGGCTAACAACAAATCTATGGTTTCTATTTGTTCTTTGGAGTTACAGCTATCTGAAATATGGGATCATCTTAAAATGGCACCGAGAACTGATGCTCTGAACTAAAAGATTATTCTTCAACTCAAGTTTTGAAACATGCATATTGCAAAAAGCCATCTATATTAAGCAGCTGGTATTTCACATTTTGCATTCCACTTCTTACATTCATTGCCAATAGTCCTATATACCCACACCCCAAGGTAACCCATATACTAACGTCTTTGGACAAACTAGCAAACTTTGGACAAACTTGGGTGTGAAGGCAGCATCCTCTGTACTCACCTGAGTGTATTTCCCAAGTTGAATGGTCAGGTTTATGGTGCCTGGAAAAACAAAATGCAGGCAACCATCTCAGACCAAGTGCAAAACAACAACAACGTTGATGCGCTTGAACTCACGGGGGAAAAATCATCATGTAATTGCTAGAAGGAGTGGGTGAGGGTGCATCATTAAGTCACTATTTTAGAAAGTGCTTGAAAAGATTAAGTAAGAGGCTACTGAGGACATCAAGTGGATCCTACAAATGATTGCATCCTGAAAAGGTACAGGAAATACTCAAGCTAGGCTTTTGAGGAGGAATGGATAGGGCAATAAGGGCATGGACATATAAGCATGTTGTAAAAAAGGGAAAGTACACATTATAATAAGAAACAACTAGATCTGAGGAGAATCTGCTGTTTCTTTTTTGAGTGGGTGTCAGGAATCTTTCACCGAGTGCTTCAGTTTGAAGGAGAAGAAGTTTGCTTTTAAAAAGTCAAAGTATTTGGGTAGATTACAAGATCATTTCGAAATATCCATCTATTTCAAGCTTTAATTCATAAAGATTTAAAGAGAGCTTGAAACAGATGGGTCTTTCAAAACACAAAACCTTATTTTGTACTCCAAAACACTTCTTTTCCGTAACTACTGCAGATGTAACATTAATTACTTCCTGCCCCACAGCAGAGCAGGGGTGATTGTGTTCACAATTACAGCTGCTGTGAATGACCATTTTGTTCATCAGGTTTTATACTGAATCATTGCAGACTGTTCTTTTTTGCATTTCATTGTCATGTGGCTATATTTCCCATATCCCCTTCCCCTTATTGCCACATATGTAACTGCCAACTGAAGAAAACAGAGGCGCCAGGTTGCCCCCAAGTTTTAGGGGGGTCTGGGGTGCATCACATGTATGACGTCTGGAGGAGCTGAGCACTGAAGCTGCCACACACGTGCTGGGCCCCCTCAAACAAATATCAAGGGGGCTGCATTTGCTAAAGTGGAGTGACTCTAACCAGTGTGCCACAATTAATCTCAATAAACTACTACTATCCCAAGTTGATGTTATTATGCTCATATTCACAGGGCTACTTGAACCATGAGCATCCAGTCTTCCAGCTTATGCTGTTAATAGCTACACCTGCCAGCTCACCTAAGGGGTAACTGAGCCACATCCAGATCACTTGTATCTCTTTGATGGCTGCACAGTCCTTGCAGTTGGAAAGGAAAGTTGCTCTCCCAGTAAAAAACTGAAATTGTACTTCTGAAATTTAACTTTGTGTTCTCCGAAAAGTTACAATGGCTGTTCACTGAAAGCTATAAAAGTGCATTGAACTGAGCTTTCCCCTGTATTACTGTACTTCAACGCTACATAAGAGGGTGAAGGAAAAGAAAACCAAACAAGTGCGCTTGCGTTTCGGAAATGATGAATAATGAAAAGAATGCACTCCCGTTTATGTCTAACTTGTTTCTAAGTGAAAGCAATGAAAACACATTAATTAATGGTTGAAATTAATTAAAACGATTCTGCTTCATTTCTGCCATTGCTTATTCATAGGAGGCATTCTTAAAACTGACAAGAAGCATTGCATTGTATTACTAAGAATGTTCTGTGGGGGGAACAGAGACCCTGAAGAACTCTGAAAGAGGCAAGACATAACACAATCCTAAAGCTGGTATACTTCTTTTCCTGAGTAAGAAGACCAAACTTAGAGGATATAATTCCTGACCAATCACTAAATGCAAAAAACCTGAACATGATTTATTTTTTTCACCTATATATGCAGCAATTTAAAAATTAAATATATAAGTGGTAGCCAATAAGAAGTATAAACATGATTAAATGAACTTATGTACATTTTAGTACAGTGCCTAATAACAGAAATTGTTCTGAGCTCTAGCTGTGCTGACTGGGGCAAGACTGGCAGGGCTCAGGATTTGCTGGTACTACCAGCACAGATTCCCCCTTCCTCATTGGACTGCTCAACCAGGATGCAAAATACTGCTTCTAGGAAATTAATACTCACAGGTTCCTGACTTTCAAAAGGTGGTGGAGGAGGAGGCTGAAAGAGAAAAGGAAGGAAATGGTTCTATTTCAATGCAATGCAAGAGATGTAGAATCCTGTTTGTAGGAAATTAATACTCACAGATGGACTTCCGGCAGGTGGTGGAGGAGGCTGAAAGGAAAAAGGAAAGAAATGTTTCTATTTCAAAGCAATGCAAGAGACGCAAAAATCCTGTTTGTAGGAAATTGATACTCACAGGTTGACTTCCACCAGGTGGTGGTGGAGGCTGAAAGGGAAAAGGAAGGAAATGCTTCTGTTTCAAAACACTGCAAAATATTTAGAATACTGTTTGTAAGAATTTGATACTCACAGGTTGACTTCCACCAGGAGGTGGTGGAGGCTGAAAGAGAAAAGGAAGGAAATGCTTTTATTTCAAAAACAAGTTGAATGATGTAAAATCCTGTTTCTAGGAAATTGATACTCACAGGTGGTGCATTTATTCCAGCTGATACCGAAGTCTGAAATAAAGGAAGGGAGGGAGCGTTTGCGTTCCAAAACCATTTCATGCATTTCACTTTCCAAACCACAAAGAGTCAGGGTGTGTTCACATTAGCACCTTAAAGCATTTCACAGCACTTTCCATCTAGCTGTTGACACGAGCATGGCTTAGTGTCATAGGAATGGCTTAATCCAATGATCCTGAAACTCGTTTGAGAAACACTGCATCAAACAGCAATATTTCACAACAAATTACAGGGTGCCCATGCATTTAATATAATGTCATGTGAATACGGAATAAAAAAAACCAGCACTGGAAATGAAGTGAATGAATGATAAATGGAAGTGTGGACACAGCCTCAAATTCTTTTATAAAGTGGATTTGTTGTGCTATAGTAAAGAGTCCTTTAATGTACTTTAATTACTCTGAGCTAAAATTCCACTACATGCCTGAATCCCTCCTGTAAAATACTGACAGTCCAGAGGCACCTTTCACAATAGGTGAAATAGAAGGGAATGGGAATTCTTATTTGGCATTCAACCTGAACCATTTGCAGAAAATTCATGGGGAGGTTGGAAAACAACATCAGTTGCTTATTGGGAAAAACATGTAGAATCCAGCTTGTAGGAAATTAATACTCACAGGTTGATCATTTCCACTGGGTGGAGGAGGAGGCTGGAAGAGAAAAGGAAGAAAATGATTCCATTTCAAAAACAATGCAAATCATGCAGGATCCTGTTTCTAGGAAATTGATACTCACAGGTGGTCCATATCCTCCATATGGCGAGGGAGGCTGAAAGAGGGGGGGGGAAAGGGAAATATTTGCCTTTCAGAACAATACAGAAGCCGTAAATTCCTGTTTGTAGGGAAATTAATACTCACAGGTTGATCATTTCCACTGGGTGGAGGAGGAGGCTGGAAGAGAAAAGGAAGAAAATGCTTCCATTTCAGAAACAATGCAAATGATGCAGAATCTTGTTTCTAGGAAATTGATACTCACAGGTGGTCCATATCCTCCATATGGCGAGGGAGGCTGAAAGAGGGGGGAAAAGGGAAATATTTGCTTTTCAAAACAATACAAAAGCTGTAAATTCCTGTTTGTAGGGAAATTAATACTCACAGGTTGCTGATTTTCACCAGCTGGTGAAGGCTGAAAGATAAAGGGAAAGAAATATTTATAGGGCATTCATTCTGATTTGTTTTCGGATAGGTAGTAAAACATTGGGTCAAGCAAGTGTCACCCCACACTTTTCCTGTTACTTTCCTTATTGCAAAAAGTCCAGTTTGCAGAGCAGTGGGGGAAAGATTCCTCTGCAAGGGCATCAAATCAATTTGTACCACCTGAACTTGTCAGTATGTGAGTGAACCCCATTTAGCATTGGTCTGGAAGTAGCCTAATACTTACAGGCTGTCCATATCCTGGATATGGCTGAGGCTCCTGAAAGAGAAAGGGAAGGAAATTCTTGTACAGTGGTACCTCTGGTTACGAACGCTTTGGGTTACGAAGGCCGCTAACCCAGAAGTAGCTGCTCCTGGTTGTGAACTTTGCCCCAGGATGCAAACAGAAATCACGCGCCAGAGGCGCACACGCAGCGGGAGACCCCATTAGCAAAAGCGCGCCTCAGGATAAGAACGGTTTCAGCTTAAGAACGGACCTCCGGAACGAATTAAGTTCGTAACCAGAGTACCACATGCAAATGATGTAGAATCACACTGGTAGGAAAATAATACTCACTTGTGGTCCATATATTCCTACTGATACGGAAGACTGAAACAAAGAAGGAAGAAAACATTTACATTCCAACACAAAACACAAATACAAAATATTTTTTGTAGGAAATCAAGTACTCCTCCAGATGACTTATTTATTGAATGTTCATCCTGATTTGCTTCTTCAAAGCTTTTGCAAACTGTGTCTGGCCTTTATTGAGCATTTGTTCTGATTTGTCTATAGGGCAATTAAATGATAATGAGCATTTGTCCTGCATTCATCCCAATTTGCTTGCTCCCCCCCCATCTTCCCATTAATAATTTTTTCATTGCATTTCACTTTCCAAACCACAAAGAGTCAGGGTGTGTTCACATTACCACCTGAAAGCATTTCACAGCACTTTCCATCTAGCTGATAACATGAGCATAGCTTAGTGTCATAGGAATGGCTTAATCCAATTGTCCTGAAACTGGTTTGAGAAACAATACATCAAATGGTAATACAGAGGAACCTCAGTTTTTAAGTGTCTCTGAAGCCAAATGTTTCGGTTTTCGAACGCTGAAAACCCGGAAGTAATTGCTTCCGTTATCGAATGGCTTCCGAGGTGCGTTTCTCAATTTTCTCCATTGACATTGCAGACCGCCCATTGTGCCTCAGTTGTCGAATGTTTCGGAAGTCAAATGGTCTTCCAGAATGGATTACGTTCAACACCCAAGGCTCCACTATATTTCACATTTCAAATTACAGGGTGCCCATGCATTTAATATAATGTCATGTGTATATGGAATAAAAAACCAGCACTGGAAATGAAATGAACGTATGATAAACAAAAGTGTGGCCACAGCCTCAAATTCTTTTATAAAGTGGATTTGTTGTGCTGTAGCAACAGATGCCTTTAATCTGCTTTAATTGCTCTAAACTAAAGTTCTGCTATGTGCCTGAATCCCTCCTGTAAAATACTGACGCTCCAGAGGCACCCTAATACAGAAGAGGAGAAAGAGAAGGGGATGGGAATGATTGCAAAACTGATTTGTAAGAAGTTAAGGTTGCAGCCAGCCTCCTTATTTAACATTCAACCTGAACCATTTGCAGAAAATTTGTGGGGGGGTTGGAAAACAACATCAGTTGTTTATTGGGCAAAACATGTAGAATCCTGCTTGTAGGAAATTAATACTCACAGGTTGGTCATTTCCACTGGGTGGAGGAGGAGGCTGGAAGAGAAAAAGAAGAAAATGCTTCCATTTCAAAAACAATGCAAATGATGCAGAATCTTGTTTCTAGGAAATTGATACTCACAAATGATCCATATCCTCCATATTGTGGGGGAGGCTGAAAGAGAAGGAAGGAATATTTGCTGGGCATTCATTGTGGTTTGTTTGCTGGGAGGTTATAAAATTGTTTGTCAAGCTAGTGTCATCCCACACTTTTCTTGTTACTTTCCTTATTGCAAACAGTCGAATTTGTAAAGGGGTAGAGGAAGGAACATTGTGCAAGGGCATCAAATCAATTTAATTGTTCATCCTGAACTTGTCGGTATGTGACTGAACCCCATTCAAAAATAGCATCAATTTGAAAGTGGCCTAATACTCACAGGCGGTCCATATGCTGGATATGGCTGAGGACCCTGAAAAAGAAAGGGAAGAAAATGCTTGCATTCCAATACAATTAAAAAGACTTTAAATCTTTTTCTAAGAAACTAATATTCTTAGAGGGGACTCCCTCTGAACTGGAGGGACAGGCTCCGCGGCAAACAGGGTCTACTCCGCTACGGCGAAGCGGGGACCCCTTCAAAATCACAGGCGGATGAAGCCTGTGACCGTGGGACTCGGCGGGCACCTTTAGCGCCCCACCCAATCCGCTAAGGAACCCACTAACGGGCTCCGAAGTGAGGAGGGGGAAGCGGCGTGGTGCTGTGAGTCAATCGCTATTTCCGTGGAGCAAAGCCGCATAGCTGCTGCCGGAGAGCGCTGCCTTCTTTCCTGGGACAATTTGGACTTTAAAACAAACACCCGTGAGTACTTAGAATTTGAACAAATGGGATATCAAATAAAGATTTGTGAAAAGGACAGATTCGGACTATAAAAAAAAATCTATTGAATTTGGTACGGAGCGGGAAGGGCTAAACAGGAAGTCACCCTTCCGTTCTTTTGTAAATAGAACAAAGCAAAGGCAATTTACACTAGAGCTCTGAAAATCGTCTTTAAAAGAGTGGATTTCAACATTGGGAATATTTTTTTTTGGACTATTTGAAGTAACCGCAAAAGGAAGTTATTTTCCTCCGTCCTGATCCTGGAGCGGGGGTGTCAGGACTGACGTGAGTTTACCAAGATAATTGTTTTTTGACAGATAGCTAAAAGAAGAGAAACTTTGTGATTCTACTGTTCCCTTTCGCATTCTAAAGGAATATATATGGACAAAGTATCTTAAGTATTTTGGGAAAAAAAGGGAAACTTTGTAGCAAAAATAAATATAAGTCTTCCCCCTAGGGGGAGCTTTTGAAACTGTAACTAACTCCAGGGATTTGACAGCTGTTACAAAATAACCATGGGAAAGTGTTTGACTGTGCAGGACAATGTTTTCAGAAGCCTTGGTGTGCGTTTTTTACAAAACAAATGCTCTACTGGAAGAATTACATGATAAGGTGAACCAGATGGCCATTTCGACTAGAAATCTTAACAGGCAGTGGAATGTCTTGACCAGACTGTGGGAAAACATGTGGAGCCTACTCAGGATTCAAACCAGGAGTGTGCTTTGACAGAACAGGAGTTTGTGGCATTAAATCAGGAGTGTGTTTTGACAGAACAGACCCAACAGGAGTATGATCCTTCGGACTGGACAAATGAACTTGGAAAAAGCCAGATCTGGAAAGGGAAAGTTCGGTGTGGCTTGGAAATGGGGGGCTGGGTTGACCCCCCTATGTTGGGATGTCTGGACTTTTTAAATATGGTAATGGGCTGCGATATGTTTGGGACTGTGGGGGCTCTCAACTTTGGAGGGCCCTTGAAACATGCTTTTAAATACTACATGGAATGCAGCGATGAATACGGAAAAGGGTCTGATCTGACGAGAAGGGTTAAAAACATTGCTAAGTTGGAGTTACCACGAGCAAGAGACATTGTCAAGCTGGAGTTATCACGAGGAGATAAGGGAAATTACAGCTATAAGTATGAAGAAGAGCCGCGGAAGGGCCATGGAAGTGACCTGAGGGCCTCGGACATAAGGTTACCGGGTTAGACTGATGGGAATAAGGACTGACAAATCCCGGAACCAGGAGGAAGGGACGTTGGATAAAGATTGGACTTGTCTATATCTTTCTTTCTCTTTTTCTTTATTATTAGAATGTTTTATAAAGTTGATGAATGATAGAAAAATTTTGGAAGAAATTACCTGGCTTTAGTAAAGATGCATAAAGAATTATGAAAGAATATTATGATCACAAGAAGCTGGTAAGGTTAAGACTTAAGTTTTAAACTTTAAGGTTTATTTTATTATAGAAAGATAGGATTAAATTAGTCGAGGGTAATGTAATGATAGAATTTTATGAAACATGGAAAGGAAAGGATTTGCTGGGATAATTAATAACTAGAATACAAAGGAAGGGAGGAGGAGGAGGTCTAAGAAAGAAGGCAATGACAGTTAAGGGTCTGAAAATAATGAATTTGTTTTGTTTTTTCTTTATTCTTTTTTCTGTATTTTCTGTTTTCTTGTATTTTTACTTTTTGTATTTTTACTTTTTGTTTTTGTGTAATTTTTGTATCCTTTGAAATTTTAATAAATATCATTTAAAAAAAGAAGAAGAAAGAAACTAATATTCACAGGCTGCCCATTTCCCTGATTTGGTGGGGGAGGAGGCTAAAAGAGAAAGGGAAGGAAATGTTTCTATTTTAAAAACAATGCAAATGATGTAAAATCATGTTGGTAGGAAAATAATACGCACAGGTTGTCCATATATTCCAAATGATACCGAAGACTGAAAGAAAGAAGGAAGAAAACATTTGCATTCTAAACCAATACACAAATATAAAATACTTTTTGTAGGAAATCAAGTGCTTCTCCAGATTACTTGTTTATTGAGTGTTCATCCTGATTTGCTTCTCAAAGTTTTTGCGAACTGTGCCTGGCCTTTATTGAGCATTTGTTCTGATTTGTCCGTAGGGCAGTTAAACGATAATGAGCATTCATCCTGCATTTATCCTGGTTTGCTCCCCCCTCCCTTCATCTTCCCATTAATCATTTCTTCCTTGCATTTCACTTTCCAAACCACAAAGAGTCAGGGAGTGTTCACATTAGCACCTTAAAGCATTTCACAGCACTTTCCATCTAGCTGTTGACACGAGCACAGCTTAGTGTCATATGAATGGCTTAATCCAAACATCCCGAAACTCGTTTGAGAAACAATGCATCAAACGGTAATATTTCACAACAATTTACAGGGTGCCCATGCATTTAATATATTGCCATGTGAATATGGAATTAAAAAAAACAGTACTGGAAATGCAGTGAATGTATGATCAATGGAAGCGTGGACATAGCCTCAAATTCTTTTATAAAGTGGATTTGTTGTGCTATAGCAACAGAGGGCAAAATATAAAGAATCCTGCTTGTAGGAAATGAATACTCACAGGTTGATCGTTTCCACTGGGTGGAGGAGGCTGGAAGAGAAAAGGAAGAAAATGCTTCCATCTCAAAAAACAATGCAAATTATGCAGAACCTTGTTTCTAGAAAACTGATACTCACAGGTGGTCCATATGGTCCATATGGTGACGGAGGCTGAAAGAGAAGGAAGGAATGTTTGTTGGGCATTCATTATGGTTTGTTTGCTGGGAGGTTATAAAAGTGTGTCAAGCTAGTGTCATCCCACGCTTTTTCTGTTACTTTCCTTATTGCAAACAGTCCAATTTGCAGAGGGGTGGAGGAAGGAATGTTGTATAAGGGCTTCAAATCAGCTTTAACTGTGCAACCTGAATTTGCTAGTTTGTGAGTGAGCCCCATCCAAAAATAGCATCAGCCTCGAAGTGGCCTTATACTCACAGGCGGTCCATATCCTGGATATTGCTGAGAACCCTGAAAGAGAAAGGAAAGTAAATGCTTGCATATAAAATAAAAAGACTTAAAATCTTGTTCTAAGAAACTAATACTCACAGGCTGTCCATTTCCTTGATTTGGTGGTGGAGGAGCGGGCTAAATGAGAAAGGGAAGGAAATGCTTACATTTCAAAAACAACCCAAATGATGTGAAATCCTGTTGGTAGTAAATTAATCCTCACAGCATATAAATATACGGCTGCTCCTGGATTCTGCTGAGGTTGTTGGGGAGGCTGAAGAAGAAAAGGAAGGAACTGTTTGCATCATTTTCATTTCTGAGAAACTGGTGTATAAATTAAGGGTGCAGCTAAACCTATGAATTTTACCTCCATTTGTCTGCCGTTTGTTACTTACATGATAGGCCAAACATGCGGAAGGCAAGTCCCAATGAAATATGGCTATACTTGGTGTTCATAACATTTGTTTTGTACTATTTCAGATTCACTGTGTAGTCTCTGTGAACCCTGTTTTTTGTATTTTTTCATTTTCCTTTATTTCATATTCCTTACTGGATTGTTATTTTAGCTTCATAATAAAGATGGACTATAGGGAATTAGCGGAAATGACTGGCAACATCCGAAACCAGGGTGAAGAGTCGGTGGAAGAAGATTGGAAAAAGTTTAAAGACTATTTATAGAAATATTGTAAAATTAAGGAATGTTAGAAAAATGTTGGAATGAAATTACATGGCTTTAGTAGAAATGTCATAATGAATTAAGTATAAATAGATTAATAGAAAATTAAAGGAAAAGTATGGCTAGAATGTGTTAAGATAATTATAGAACAGAAAACAGAGTAAGATGGAAAGGAATTGCTGAAACAAATAATAGAAGTGGAATACAAAAAGGGAGGTGTGAGGAAGTCGCTGGAAATAAGTGAATGAAATATAAGATATTGAAAATGTTTGAGGTGTTTTTAAATTGTTTTTGTTTGTTTTTGCTTGATTTGTTAGTTCATTCGTATTGTTTTTTCTTTTTTTTTCTTTTTCTCTGTGTTTGTAGTGCCGTGTTGGAAATTTTGAAAAAGTAATAAATATCATTTAAAAAATATATATATATAATTCAACTTGGGATCAGGACCAAATACAGTCTGTTAAAAGCAAGGCCCAACTTTTCCCCATTCACTGTACAGTGGGACCTCAGGTTAAGAACTTAATTCGTTCCAGAGGTCCGTACTTAACCTGAAACTGTTCTTAACCTGAAGCACCACTTTAGCTAATGGGGCCTCCTGCTGCTACTGCACCGCCGGAGCACGATTTCTGTTCTCATCCTGAAGCAAAGTTCTTAACCTGAAGCACTATTTCTGGGTTAGCGGAGTCTGTAACCTGAAGCATATGTAACCTGAAGCGTATATAACCCGAGGTACCACTGTAATAGGTGCTATAATAGGTGCTATAATTTACTATAATAGGCACTATAATAGGGGAATCTAAAAACAGCTATGTTTGTATTTTCACCCCTTTTCAAGGCAGCAGATGGAATTTGCTGGCATATTGTAGGTGCACATGATCTGACTCAGTATAAGGCAGTGGTGGCCTCTTGAATGATCTTGTCATGCATAGGATTATTTTTTTTAAAAAAAAGAACTCCAACATTTTGTCCCTAACAGTGTACATATAGTACATGTGAATTGGTCATAAGAAAAGTAATAAACAAAGAAGCCAGGAGTTGTTTGTTGGGCTTTATGCACAAATGTTTACGTTAATGCAATTATTATTATTAGTCAAATTTATACACCACCCTTCGTGAAAAGATCTCAGGAAATCAGGAAAGAAAATTGGCACTTCTTACCTGGAACGGCCATTGATAGCGGTTATTCTTGAAAGAAAAAGATAAGAAACAAATGAAGAGTTAATTACTTCAGCTCCTTAAGAGAGCTATTATGAAAAGATGGAGGTATTCTGTGTCCTGAGTTCTCAAATCCAGGAGGTGGAGAGATGGGCTGTTCTGGACAAGGTTGCACTCTCCTAGAAGCAACAAGTCCATAGCTTGGAGGTTCTCCTGTAGCCAATGCTCTCAGCGGAGGCTCAGGTGGCCTCATTGGCTAGGATTGCCTGCTCTAGTTTCAGCTGGTTCCCCAGCTCTGGCCCCATTTGGCCCACTGTACTATGTACTCTGTTAACGTCCAGCCTGGACTGTTGTGATGTGCTCTAGGTGGGGCTGCTTTTGAAGACGACTTCAATTGGTTCAAAATGAAGTCAAATTGCTGGCTAGGGTTTCATTTAGACATGAGCCCTGTTGTACAACATCTGCATTGGTTGCCAGTTTGTTCCCAGCCCCAAACGGTGCTCACACTAGTGTTTAATGCTCAAAAGAACTTGGGCCCCAAATATCTGAAAGAACACCTTCTTCCTTACAGTCCCTCTCAAGTATTAAGTTCTGCAGAGAGAGACCTCTTGGTAGTTTCATCACCTTCAGAAGCTCAGTGGTGGTGGGCGAGAAAAGGCATTCTCAGACCATGGCAGCCCCTACGTTCTGAAATTCCCTCCCCACAGAGGTGCATCTGGTGCCTTCACTAAGCAGTTTTTGAAGAATCCTGGAGACACTTCATTCTACCCTTGCCTCAGACACTTGAGATCTTTATTTTTGGGACCCACCCTATCATTATGATTGTAATTTGTTTTAAATTGTTTTAAACATTTTTTTTCAATTGCTGGGACCTGCCCTGGGACCTTGGGTTGGAGGGCAGGTAATAAATAATTTTCTTCATCATTGCTTTCATTAAACTGGGTTATTTTACCCATTGTGCACTGGTAAACCTGAGTTCTTCACCAACGCTTTTATAGCCATTTCCCCCCTGAATTGGTACCATTTGTTCTCTCAGATATTCTGCAAAATCCAAACAATACTGGCCTCAAATATTTTAATCGCATATTGCCTTCCCATATTTTAAAAAATACTCATTGATTGTGATTTATTTGGGTTCAGACAGTATTGTTGCAGTACAATATTTGTATCACAGACTGGTATAGTACCTTGCCTCCTCTTGCTTTCATTTTGCCCAGGGGGTACTCAATGGTACCTCTTTTTGTTGTTGTTAAAAAGTGTGACACATACCATAACAACTTCGAGATGGGTACCAGCACCTATTTTTCTAGGGGGAAATGCACCAATGTTGCCATATACAGTACCTTGTCAGCAATCGCCAGTCTTTTATACAAAGATTGTACTGCAATGTAAACACTGTCACATCTAAACAAGTCTGGCAGCTTTTCCAGAGGATGGCTAGAAAAAATGTGGACCTTCTGCCCACTTGTTATGTGAGATCCAATACCTTTTCACAAAGAATTTGATTTGAGAGCTGCATGTACATTTCCAATTACCGTGAACTAAAATCAAACAGATTTTTGATCCCCGGTGTGTGTTTGAATGTTTCAACCACCGCAGCTTTGGCAAACCGATTCCCTCTGTTCTTTTAGAAAGACGCAAATGCCCAATTCCTTTGCCCACAGCCAATTCATTGACCATGCCCAGGAGTATCAAAGTCAACCTGACAAATCCAACACATCCGGTGATCGTGGCGGTATGTGACCTTTTCATTCTCTGGGACAAAAAGCTGTGGAATTGCTCTAGCTGCAAACTTAAGAAGAGAACTGGAAGGCTCTTCACATTCATGCCAAACCTTGCTTGCCTTTGGAATAGCAAAATTGCGAACATCCTCCCCCCCCCCCCCCGGCAGTACTTACGTTTTGAGAATTCTTTCTAGAAAACGCTTCCTATAAAATAAAGGGGGGGGCAGTAGGAGTTACTTTAAGTAGCACTTCATTAAAATGATTCCTAAGGTAGCAGAAAGGTGCCCATTATTTCAGGGCCCATTGGATTTGCTGTGGATTCTGTTTCTTCCGATTCAGCAGGAGGTTTCCCCAGGGAAAGCGGCAGAGCAAAAACAACAAACAGCCACCTCTCGAATTTGTGACTTGAAATCCCTTGAAATCATGGGACAAATGAAACTGTGGATGGGCCCTCAATGACAAGAAATAGACCTGTCATGTTCTCTGAGAACAAACACCACCCATGGTTGAATAACTCTACTCAGGAATTTTGCTTAAGCAGGAAACATCTGTCTGGCTGTGTTGGAGACATGGGGTCTGGTGTGCTACCCCTTTCCCAATGTGGTAACATTAAGACCTGTTGAACTACAACTCCCATCAGCCTCAGCCAGCACAGCCATATTTATGTATTGGAATGACTGGTTTAATTTCAGTAGGTTGCCAGAAATGCTTAACTTTTACAGATTTAGCTAAAAATCTTATACATGCAAACCTGAGAATCAGTCTCATTGAACTCAGTGGATCTTAGCATTAATTTTAAGTTACAAAATGCATAAATAATTTGACGTATGTATGCATGTATGATTTGTGTCTGCCATTGTTAGTTTTTGTTGTGGTTTTTGATCAGCTGTGTTATAGGACAAATACAATGTGGAAAATAGGTTACCGGTATTTCTGAGTATTTTATCTTTGACCCAAAAGTTTACATGGGTACATACATGGCTAATCAGTGATTTAAATCAAGGTTTCACTACTACAGTTCTGTCATTCTCTATATCACACTGGCTCAAATCCAGTCCAGTACCAATCTTTACACACACACACACACACACACACTCCGTTACTCAAACCCTTGGCTCAGGATGAGACACTGAAATTATATGAATCTGTTAATATAGAAAGCATTTTCCATATACTGTACTTACTTTCACTCTTTCTACGAGCTCCATCTATAAGGAAAAAGGAATAAATTATTCAGAGTTTCTTAACTTTGTAAGTGCGAACAAGACATCCTTCTGGATCTCTTGGTGGGTTTTGTTATCACTAAATATGGTTACCTTCTAGATAGAGGGTCTTTGGGGATTAGGGGTACTGTATTTCAGCCATCCTACTCCAATGTAGATAACATATCCCAGAAGGCAACACTGAGGAATTACAACACTGAGGAATTATACAATGGGACATTTCAGGATTTCACAGTGGTCTCCAAGTTTTTTAACATCTATGTACAATAGCTGAGCCCTACTTCTCAGAACAAATTCCTGGGTTTGGAATTACTTAACTCTAAATCTGTGTCTTTTGCATCTAGTTCTGTTTGGTGGGTTTTGGGATTCTAGTGGAAGCAAAGCCATGTCTGAGTTAGAGGAGCATTCAGATGTAAACTCCTCCACCCACCACTTGTAGCCTGAAGTGGGACAGCCCTATTTGATTCCACTGAATGTATAAACTGCCCCAGGGCCGGCGGTGGGAAGAGAGATAAGGGGTGGTTTGTGACGTGAACATATGAGAGTGCTGGAGGTGAAATAGTTAAACAAATTACCCAATCAGAACCCAGCGGGTGGAGTCAGAGGGACTATAAAACCAGCTCTGGGAGGGGCGAAAGGGCAGTCCGTTGAGAGGTGGGTGGTTGATTGGAGTGGGAGTGAATTGGGATAAAGTCTGTGGGTAGGTTGAGTTAGTGTAGCGAAATAAGCTGAGTCAGGAACAGTTAGGAGCTAGGAAGACAAGTAAATATCTGAGAGGTGGTTAAGTGAGTGAGAGCAGGTAGCGGAAGTTATAGGTCTGGATAGGCACCCTATGATTGTAATTGACTGATACCATTTATGAAACCACACGCTTGTTAAACTGCAATAAATAAACAGAAATTTATTGTCCAATTTAACCCTGACTGGACTCAGTATTGTACCAGGTAGGGCCTGGGTGGTTGCAGCGAGAAATAAAGTGGTGGCACAGGGATCAATAGACGGTGAAACGTCCGGGGACCCTGTGTGATCGCCACATGGTTTATATCCACTTATATTACATTTTTATCTCATTTTTCTTCAATGAAGGTTCATTGCATCAACCCTCTAAGGTAGACCAGGCTAAAAGAGAAGTCATGTAGGGAGTACTGTGGCTCAGATTTGGATCCCGGTCATCTCACTTGACATGCTGCCTGGTATAGCAGACTTTAAATATATACAGTATATATATCTTAGCCCAGTAGCTGTCTTTACAACTTTTCATTCCGCTTAACACGTCTCAGTATTGGGCACTAAGATTATATGAAACAACCAGAGAAGAAAATCCTTTCCATTTACTTACCGGCATCTCGAATAATCTTTTCATCTGGAGGGGAAAGAATGTAGGTTATTCAAAGAGGAGAGCTTCCAGACATGGGGTTAAGATGGTAAACTCACATCCAGAACCAAAAATGCAGCATGGGGACCTGCCCCACCCACCTTCTCTGTGTTCTACAGCCAGGCCATTCATAACTTTAGGCAAAGTGAGGTAGCCACTTCAGACGTCAGGTCTTGGGTGTCACAAAAAGGTAGAAATTGTCGGTAGAGGAGGGAGAGACACACACCTGGTGCTCTGCCTCAGCCAGGAAAATGTCTATAGCAAGCCCTGCCTAAGGCCCCAATCCAGCAACTCGTACAGCAAGGGCTGCGATGCACACCTGAAAGCCAGGTGGGATCTTCAACAATATGAGAAAGGAGAACCTCAGTTTAGCCTCTCCATCTCCAAAGCTGCCAGTTGGCTCTAAGGATAAATATCTCAAGGACGCTACATGTGTGGAATCAGCCGTGTACGTTGTGCACAGCACCACGTAAGTATTGCATGCTTCCACACACTGAGCTAGCAAGATGCCCCTCCTAGGACATCCCTGGAGGAAGGCAGGGGTCAGTTCCCCCATTTAGAATTTCAGCAGAAGGGTGTTGGGCGTCAGGTAGACTCCATGTTTGTCTCAACAACTCTCCCCAAGCAGCCCTGCAAGAATAACGATGAGCTTAAAACTGTGGCAATCATGAAAACAAATAGCACCATGACCCACGAGAGAAGGAAGTAACAACTCCTGCTTCGTACATGTTAGCGACTTAAAATGCAGCGAGGTTCTTCCCACCCCCCCACTGTGTTTCAGGTCACATTAGCATTTTGCTGTACACGCTAAAGAGGAGGCCGGGATGTCTTCACCCAATGCGCATTCCTTGTTTGGCATCCCTGCTGCTTTAAGCCCACTACCTCACTCCTATGCACTAAGCTGTCACCTGTGCATTCACAACAGCTGCCCCAAAATCTAAACAGCCCAGCTTAGGTGCAAAGGGCATGTGGCTGCCATTTTCAAATCGGATAGAAGATGGTTTGAGAGGAGGTGCGTCAAATGGCAGTATATCTCAAGAAGCTACAGGACAGATAGGGGGATGTGGCTAATGTCAAAAACCAGCAGCGGGGGTACAATCAAGCCAGAGTAAATGGCAATGTGTACACAGCCCAGGTTTCTCTCTCTTTTTTTTTTTAAATGGGAATTTGTCACACATCATTGTGTTGTGCCCACTCTTTCTTAAGGTATAGGTGCATATTCTGTGCCTGTCTCATCTGCCAACAGACCACTAGCCTAGAAAATTTTCTTCTGGGACGCTCCGAAGGTAAAATTCTACACCCAATGTCTTTTTGGACTAAGTTACATTGAACTCAGTGGGGCTTACTTTATTTATCTATTTATTGCATATGCATCCTGAGAGGGAATACGTAGGATTCCATTGTTAGAGTGCAATTGGTTCAAATCTCCGCAATGGAGTGAGCTCCCGTTGCTCTGTTCCAGCTCCTGCCAACCTAGCAGTTCGAAGGCACGCCAGTGCAAGTAGATAAATAGGTACTGCTGTGGCAGGAAGGTAAGCGGTGTTTCCGTGCACTCTGGTTTCCATCACGGTGTTCCATTGCACCAGAAGCGGTTTAGTCATGCTGGCCACATGACCCAGAAAGCTGTCTGTGGACAAATGCCAGGTCCTTCGGCTTGAAAGTGAGATGAGCGCCGCAACCCCATAGTCGCCTTTGACTGGACCTAACTGTCCAGGGATCCTTTAACTTTACCTTTTACCTATAAGCACATATAACTTGGGAGCTGCATTGAAATCAAGGGGACTGGGATATAAGTGTCAACTTAATGCAGAAATCACAATGCTAGGTACATTTTTTAAAAAAATAAAAACAAAACATTTTACCCAATTTGGGCTGTCGTCAGTCTACAAAAAAAGAAAGAAAGAAGTTAATTGATATTGTTGCTCTCCACATCAAAGATGAAACTGTTTAAGTGTACAGATCTTTGAGCACACTCTTAGTTATTGGAAGCAACCCCCAATAAAATTAAAAGAGCTTATTATGTTTTGGTCATAGAGCTGAGCCAGAATTCCTCAGAAGATTCTTTTTCCAAGAACATTTTTGAGATTTATTTTTTTCTCACCCACCCAAGCTCAGAAAAGTAGGCCATTTTGCAGAATTTTCTGCACAGACTTTATCAAGTGTTAAGAGACCATCTGCACACAACTCTAATTTAGCATCTAAGGAAGGCCTACAAAAGTAAGTCCATCAACTTCAATCTCACCCTATTGTATTTATTTTATTGTTTCGCCTGTTACTAGCCTGATACGATCTTTGCGTATTCTCTTAGTATGTGCTCTTTTACCTTCCAAAATTACAGTTTCAGGGGGGTTTTGTTTTAAAAAAGGGGGGCACAATTAACTCGACCTATATATAGTGGTACCTCAGGTTAAGTACTTAATTCGTTCAGAAGGTCCGTACTTAACCTGAAACTGTTCTTAATTTGAAGCACCACTTTAGCTGATGGGGCCTCCTGCTGCCGCCGCGCCGTCGGAGCACAATTTCTGTTCTCATCCTGAAGCAAAGTTCTTAACCTGAAGCACTATTTCAGGGTTAGCGGAGTCTGTAACCTGACGCGTGTGTAACCTGAAGCATATGTAACCCGAGGTACCAGTGTAGTGGCAATATGTTGCATACAGTGTCTTTTAAAACTACAGAATTTGTATTTTTGCTGTGTTGTTGCCTTTCAATCTTCTGTTTGAGGGACTCTCAAACCAGTCCAGTCCAGTTTAAAGAAAAAGTACTGCTAAAAGGGAAAGCAGATATTTTGAAGTAGCCCACAGACATCAGACTGAGCAGACACACAGGCCACCTGGCCACAATCTTCCCCAAGATTGTGATCTCTAATTTCCAACTCTACAAATAAATGATCTCTACAAATAAATTAGAGAAATGATCTCTAATTTCCAACTCTACAAATAAATTATGCAGGTCTGTATCATCTTTTTTTGTGATATGTAAGTAGCAACCTTAGCACAAGGCATTGTACCCAGGATTATACATGCTTAACTTAGATCCAATAATTGAAGAGGGAAAGAAAGGACACAATAATTCTCTGTGTGTGTCCATGTGCATGAATATGAAAGGGATGGATCATAAGCTCACATATTCAAGGTGCTGGACCAAAGAAAGGACAAGGAGAAGAGAATACAATCAAAGAAACGAAACCTGTCATACCTGTTTCCTTCTGCCGAACCAACCAAGCTACAAGAAGGAAGGGGGGGGGGAATAGATGTTATTTTTTTCCCATTGGCTTCCGCATGAGAAATTAAACTGATATAACCTTTGCACATTTCCCCCTGCATGTGCACACTTTCTCCTCCAAAACATACAGTTTCACAACCAGAAAAAAACGAGACCTATCACAGTCACTTGGCTTAAACTGCTGAAATAAAGAAACCTGAAGCTGGGATGGGGGGGGGAGGCAGGGATGGATTTGTGAGTGGAAGGATGGTGAGCGCAGTTATACTCAGAACCAGGAGGAGCCAGAAGTGGAGGCAGAACAGTGCTTACTGGACCTCCTGCCAATGGCATTGCTGTGTCTTACCAGGAGGGGAGAGGGTTGAGGTGGCAGGGAGGTTGGCAGGAGCTCCAGGTTTGCTCAGCTGGTTTGTTTGCATCACACAGTTCTCCCCTCTCCCTTGTAGTCTCCAAGTAAGGTGCAAGTACACTGGCAATAAGAGGTCAGGTAAGTACCGTATTTTTTGCTCTATAAGACTCACTTTTTCCCTCCTAAAAAGTAAGGGGAAATGTGTGTGCGTCTTATGGAGCGAATGCAGGCTGTGCAGCTATCCCAGAAGCCAGAACAGCAAGAGGGATTGCTGCTTTCACTGCGCAGTGATCCCTCTTGCTACTCTGGCTTCTGAGATTCAGAATATTTTTTTTCTTGTTTTCCTCCTCCAAAAACTAGGTGCGTCTTGTGGTCTGGAGCGTCTTATAGAGCAAAAAATACGGTACCCTTGCCTCTCTGCACAGACCACTACTGCTCAGAACAAATTCTGAGATGTGGAGTTACAGTCGTACCTTGGAAGTCTGTTCGACTTTCAAAACATTCGGAAACCGAAGTGTGGCTTCTGATTGGCTGCAGGAAGCTCCTGCAGCCAATTGGAAGCCCCATCGGATATTCGGCTTCCCAAAATAGTTCGCAAACTGGTTTGCGACGTTTGGGAGCCAAAACGTTTGGGAACTAAACTAAACTAAACTAGTTTGACTTCCAAGGTACGATTGTATTTCTAAGTGCATGTCTTTGGTGCCTGGTTCTGTTTGGTGGCTCCTGCGATTCTAGTAAAAACAAAGTAGATCCCAACAGCCTAAACCAGGCTTCCTCAACCTCAGCCCTCCAGATGTTTTTGGCCTACAACTCCCATGATCCCTAGCTAGCAGGACCAGTGGTCAGGGATGATGGGAATTGTAGTCTCAAAACATCTGGAGGACCGAGGTTGAGGAAGCCTGGCCTAAAGTCTGCCAATTCCCAAGTTAGAGGATCATTCCAATTTAACTCTCTGTTTCTCAAAGAATCCTGCCTAATTCATTTATGATGCTGATTTTATATTACAGCTTGTGGCGTGATGAACAACATCCTAACTGAAGTGCAAAGAACAAAGTTTTCTTCTCTCTTCACCTTCAACCAACCAAGGAGAAAAAAATATCCCAGTCTGATTTGGTCCAGGAATGTCCTATTCCAAAGCCAAACGGGAACAAAGCTTTCCTCTTAATGTTCACATATGTTAAGATTAATCATGCATCCCTTCATCTTGGCCTTTGACCCTTGTGATGTATGCTTTCAGGACTCATTCTATACTGTACCTTAATTGCTTTTAAGTTATGAATTTTAAATTCGGGGACTGGATGGTGATGGGTGGCAATACATTTAGTAACGTTCATCATCATCTTCTAACCAGAACAGCTTACATGTGACATGTTTTGCAGTTTCTTGCTTCAAGTTGTGACATGCTAGTAATTTGGCCCAATACTCAACTTCACCTTTCCATTCAGCTAACCCATTTCAATATTAGATATCGAGGGGATAGGAAACACCCAGAGAAAAAAGACCCTTCTGCATACTTACTGGTGTAAAATCTTGCCACTAGAAGGGAGGGGAAACATAGATTATTCAGAAAGGCTTTTTTGTGTGTGTTTTCATAAACCGCTTCACAATTTATTTGTAACAGTAAGTGGCATATAGATGGGAAATGCCTCACACAACCATGCATTTTGGAACCTCTATGGCAACTTCTTCCAAGGAAAAGGGGGATTCTCATCTATTTGCTGCCTTCACTTTTTCCTTGCAACTCCCCCACCCCTGCCTTTCTCGCTTTGGGGTTTCATATATCCTGAACCACTTGGGCAGGAAAGCACCCACACCACACCCTAGGAGCCAACTCCTACAGGCTGTGGGGGCTTTGTTCCCCACCATAAAATATTTGAAGGGGTCGGGGCCCTACAAAGTTGATGGGCATTCCCATTCAAATGATTTGTGTGCACTGCATCATGTGATTATGTGGGGTGGGGTTTACCTGGCCCCCCACAATATTTTATTCAAGTTGGCGCCCCTGCCTCCCCATCCTGTCTTAATCTGTGCAGCTTTCCCACTTTGTATTCAATAGAAGAGGAGGAGGAGGAGGAGGAGTTTGGATTTGATATCCTGCTTTATCACTACCCGAAGGAGTCTCAAAGCAACTAACATTCTCCTTTCCCTTCCTCCTCAACAACAAACACTCTGTGAGGTGAGTGGGGCTGAGAGACTTCAAAGAAGTGTGACTAGCCCAAGGTCACCCAGCAGCTGCATGTGGAGGAGCGGAGACACAAACCCGGTTCACCAGATTACGAGTCTACCACTCTTAACCACTACACCACATAATAGCCAGGGCCAGCCCTACCATTGGGCAAAGAGGGGAAGTCTTATAGGACAGGTGGAACACTTAATACCGCAGCAATCATCAAAGCAGTTAAGGCAAGTTAAATCCATCAGAAAGAAGTCATAGCTAAGTCTCATGGAAATCAGTGTAGATCTTAAGAGATAGGAAGCTCACATTTTGCCTTTTTTACAAGGGGAGCTCTTCATGAAGCACTGTACCTTTTATTTCTTGTGATGCGTTGTATCCACTACTTCTCATTATGTATGTGCACACTGGGTCTTTCTTGCCTGTCCCTATCACATCTCTTCCCCTCTACAGACCACTAGCCTTTACATTTTTCTCTTGAGATTTTCCATTGATGCTCTGAAGGTAAAATTTTATACCCCAGTTTGCTGTCCCATTGAACACCATACATTTAAAGCACACGTTCCCCACCAAAGAGTCCAGGGAACAAAACTTTACTCAGCACATAGCTACAATTCCCGGTAAAACTTAATTCTACAATTCCCAGGATTCTTTGACAGGGAAAGATGTGGTTTGAATGTGCTTTAAATATATGGCGTGTACGCAGCCTTTTGTCTGTGTAGGCACCCATGCATAGGATTGTGCAGCAATTCATATATTAAGGATGCAATCCTATAGATGCTTACCTGGGAATAAGCCCTGCTGAACACAGTAGGACTTAATTCCAAGGCGATATGCTTAGGATAGCATAGTTAGAGCATGGTTCTAAGCACACATGGCCTTTGGAGCAGCATCGGAATCAAGGGAACTAGGATCTCAGTGGCATTTTGACACAGAAATCACAGCCTCAGGAAAACAAAAGTTATTTTACCCATCCTTGGTTTCTGTTTGACGAACTCTACAAAAAATAAAAATAAAAATATTATTTGATCTTGTTTGTGTCCACATGGGAAAATAAACTGCATGGGTGCACAGACTCTTAAACACACATTTATTTTTTGTAATCAAATGGGCTTATTACTTCCAAGTAAACCTGTTTAGGTCACAGAGCTGAGACAGGGTTCCTTGGGGGGGGGGGGAGATTATCATGAGATTATTATTTTTTTGAGATTTATCATTTCCTCCTTGAAAAAGAAGCCCACTTTGTAAATTTGTCTCCCTACTCTATATCAAGTTGGCATCTTCACACAGTTTAGTAGCAGCCTGCACTTCTAAGGACGGCTACATGTAGTCAGTTCAAGCCAAAAGTCCTATCCCATTATGCTTCATTTAAATGTTTAGCCCTTACTAGCCCAACGTAATCTTTATACATTTCAACACGTTTATATGCACACTTCCCCCTTCAAAAATTACACCTTTCACAATTGAGAGAAATTAGACTTCTGTCGCTCATCGCCACCCGTGGTCAGGGCCAAAACCAAAATAAAATAGACATTATTCATTCCTGTTGGCTTCCATATGATAAATGGCACGGAATCTCAGGCTCATAAACACATATCCCCAGCAAGAATTTCCTGAGCATCTGAGGGACGTAGCCCCAAACAAGACTGGATAGCTGAGCTGGTTAGAGCGTGGTGCTGAAAGTGCCAAGGTTGCAAGTTTGATCCCCGTATGGGATAGCATTTCAGGGGATTGGATGATCCTAGGGGTCTCTTCTAGCTCTACAATTCTATGATTCTAAGACATGATATTAATTGCACAAATGCAATTAATGTCTGTGGTCTTGATCCCGCTGAATGTTTAAGCAGGCCCCGAGTGTACACTTATGTTCCATCTTCAGCTAACCCGTTTCACTAGATACTGAGATTATACAAAATAGCCAAAGAGAGTAAAAAGCTGCTTCCATATACTTACTTGTTTTCTCCTGCCTCCAAATAGTCCTGCAAGCTAGAAGGGAAAGGGACATCAGTTATTCAAAGAGACTGGATCTTCTTGTCCGGCTCCAGCAAAAGAAGAAGCTGAATTCAGGCTCCTCCTGAAAGGAGCAGTTGGCTCAATGGCCAGAGATCTCATGAGCGCTATATGTGTACAAATCCAACACCTGAACTGGCCAGACAGCATTGGTTCACAGCACCAATTTCCACATGAATATCACATGGTTCCACATTCACCTAGCAAGCTGCATGCAGAGGCGAGGGCAGGGGTCAGCTGCCCCATCTAGAATGTCAGCGGAAGGGTCCTGGGGTCAGGTAGATCCCAGATGTAAATGCATTTCTTCATGTTTGTCCCAGCAACCCTTCCCAAAATCGCACCCTTGCAAGAACAATAGCACAAAACTGTGACGACCATTAAAACAGTTAATGCCACGGCCCAGCGAAAAGGAAGTCACAACTAAGACCCGTTGAAACCAAAGGACTCGTATACAGAGCTTTTTCAATGGGGATTCATCACAAATTCTTGTTGGGTTGTACCCATGGGTCTTTTATGCGTGTACCTACTCCATCTCTTCCCCCAAAATAGACCACTAGTCCTCATACTTCCCTCTCGCGGCTTTCCTTTGATGCTCTGTGGGTGATATCCTGTACTCAGTTTCCTGGGAACAAGGTCCATTGAATTCAACGGGTCTTACATCTGAATAGGCATGCGCAGGATTGTGTATTGAGATGTATGTTTAGCCTAGAATCCTATGGACACTGACCTGAGTATAAGCTCCACTGAAAACAATGGGACTTAAGCTGTGTGCAAACTATACCTTTAAAGCGCACTCAACGTAGTTTGCCGTTCACAGAAATGCAATTCCCAGCAAGGCCTTAGCAAAGTACAGTGCTCAGAATTCTTTAAGGAAAAGAAGGTGCTTTGGATTGGCTTTAAAGGTACAGTGTGCAGACAGCCTTGCTTCTGAGGTTATGCATAGGACTGCATTGTTAGAGCACAATTCTAAGCGTGGGAGTTGAATTAGAATCAAAGGGACCACAATCTTAGTGCCAGCTTGATACAGAAATGACAACCTTAATTGAACAAAATGTATTTTACCAGTCCTGGGCTTGACTGTGAAGAACTCTACAAAAAGGGAAAAAAATGCAAATGTTATTTGATCTTGTTTGTTTCAGTATGAGAAAAGAACCTGCCTAGGCACCCAGACCCCTTAGCACACACTGATTCTTAAGCACACAATGGGCTTTTTAGTTTCAAGTTTAGGCCACGGAACTGGAACAGAATGTATCAGAAGATGCATTTTCTGAAAATATGTCTGAGGTGCATTATTTTCTCCCCCTTCCCCCTTGAAAAAAGTGTTGGCCACCCCCCAAGAAAATTCTATTTGCACACAGCTCCAGGAGTAGCGTCCAAATCTAAGGAAGGCTGCAAGTCCTCCAGCCACATCAAGATTCCCATTCCATTATTTTTCATTTAATGTTTAGTCCCTTACCAGCCCGATAAAGTCTTAAGACATTTTACTTATATGGACAATTTTCCTCCCCAAGTTGCAGCTTTCACAATTGGAGAAATGAGATTTATACTCACTTGTCTTTTGCCGCCGAACTCCTTCTACAAATAATAGCAGTATTATTAGCAGTAGTAATAGTAGTCATGTAAAAATTCATCATTTGTTTCTGTTGGCTTCACAAGAGAAACGAGAAGCTCAGGCTCATACGCACAAACCCCCAGAAAGAATTGCTTGCGGAATCTAAGGGCCTTGGCCAGAGACTGGACAAAATACTCATTGCACAAATTCACTTGAAGCCCATGGTCTTTTCTTATGTAAATAACAGTTCCAGAAAATCCTGAACAGCAGTGCTAAAAAGGGATGGTTTCCATTCACTTATATACTATTTCAACTGGGAAACACTGGCCTGGGAGTGCTCCAATTGGAGAACAGCCTTTACCAAAAGTGTCATGAGTTCTGAAGACACTCGAACACAGGACGAAAGGGAGAAACGTGCTAAGAGGAAGGCACGCTTGGCAAACCTTCAGCATGATCAACTCCCATCCGGAAACCTATACAGTGGTACCTCAGGTTAAGTACTTAATTCGTTCCGGAGGTCTGTTCTTAACCCGAAACTGTTCTTAACCTGAAGCACCACTTTAGCTAATGGGGCCTCTTGCTGCCGCCGCACCGCCGGAGCACAATTTCTGTTCTCATCTGAAGCAAAGTTCTTAACCTGAAGCACTATTTCTGGGTTGGCGGAGTCTGTAACCTGAAGCGTATGTAACCTGTGGTACCACTGTATCCTTACTGTGGAAGGACGTGTAGATCCAGGATTGGCCTCCACAGTCACTTACGGACTCACTTTTAAAACCGTGTTTATGGAAGACAATCTTACTCGGCTACAAGTGATTGCAGAAGAAGAAGAAAGAGAAGGAGAAGGAGAAGAAGAAGAAGGTGGTTCCATTTCATCCTGCCTTCCTTCGAAAAGCTCAGGACAGGCTAACTAATCCTCCCTATTAATCATCATGTCAACCCTGTGAGGTAAACCTGGCTGCGCAAGAGGTCACACAGGGAATTTCCTAGCTGAGATTTGGACCCAGGTAATCTTGATACAAGTATTGGCATGCTACCTGCTAGATGGGAGTGGCTCAAATAAACACACAATCTAACCCAATAGCCAACTTCCCTTCTCTTTGTTCAGCTAACCTCTTTCTCAGCACTGAGATTGTATGAAAAAGCCAGAGAAAGAAGACCCTTCTCAATACTTACTTCTACACTGTTGATGAGCTCTTCCCACTAGAAAGGAAATAGGCACTGGTTACTCAAAGAGGCTACCTTCTCCCAGGAAAATCCAGCCAGTTCCCTGCCCAGTGCTTGCATCTGCTTCCCACTTGATGCCCTTCCCCCTGACAACCCCAGATTGCTTTGAGCTACCCAGACAGGTCCACAGTCGTCCAGGTCTATCTCGGCCCAACTCAAGCAACTCCCAGTTCCCCTTGAATTGGTTCAGGACTCAGCTGTGGCTGGTGCACAGACCTAAACATCCGTTTGAGACCCGGCGCAAGGAGAATTCGCAACTTCATGTAAATAAAGGTTATTTTACCCATGCGTCAACACTCTGTCCACCGTCATCCTAGAAAAATACAAATACAAAATGTCATCTGGTCTTGTTTGTTTCCGCATCAGAAATGAAACTGCTTAGGTGCCCTGAACCTTAAACACAGTCTTATTCTTGGAAGCAATCCCTATGCATATAATAATAATAATAATAATAATAATAATAATAATAATTTATTATTTATACCCCGCCCATCTGGCTGGGCTTCCCCAGCCGCTCTGAGCAGCTTCCAAAAAAATATTAAAATACTGTAATACATCAAACATTAAAAGCTTCCCTAAACAGGGCTGCCTTCAGATGTCTTCTAAAAGTCTGGTAGTTGTTGTTCTCTTTGACATCTGTTGGGAGGGCGTTCCACAGGGAGGGCGCCACTACCGAGAAGGCCCTCTGCCTGGTTCCCTGTAACTTGGCTTCTCGCAGTGAGGGAACCGCCAGAAGGCCCTCGGTGCTGGACCTCAGTGTTAAACATGCTTGTTGGTTTCAGGTAGATCTGTTTAGGAGTTGTAGCTGACATAGAATCCCTCAAGCAATATTTCACCACCCCTAGATTTCAGGTTTGGGGCCTGAAGTCTCAGGGTCTGGGATACCTCTGGCCTGGCAACCCAGTGGATCACTGATTGGTGAGCCTATATAATTGACCCTTGCCCAAAGATTTGGGCTGGGGTCCTAGGCAGCACTTGTTTGGACAGAGGGATGACATGGAAATCGGCAGGACTAGGATCAGACAGCTCACATGGTTTCTATGAAAAGATAGGGAAGACAGAAAAGGACTTCTCATACTCACCGAGCCAGGGTAGCCGTTTTGGGGAGGAGGGGGAGGAGGGTAAGGACGAGCCCCTGGACTGCCAGAGTAGCCAGAGCCCTGCTACAGAAAGAAATAAAGAATTGTTGGTTTTGTTTCCACAAACTTCTTTTTAGAAAACAAATGGCACCTCCTCTTCCCAGCTTTTAAAATATCAGTGATGGGGTGTTTGTGTATCTACACACACACACACGCATATTTATAAAACGTGTTTGGATGGATGAGAGAAACGCATCTTCCTCCCTCTAATTGTAATTTATACTCTTTCCCTTTTCATATTAAAAAGAAGCCTGTTCACAGAAACCCAAGTTGTTGCAGGTATCCCATGACACTCAATCATTGGTGAACAGGTGTGCTTCCACCTGTGCCAAGGATAGGGAAGCTGTGGTCCTCCAAATTTTGTTGGCCTCTCACTTCTGGCAGCCCCATTCAGGATGGCCAATGGCCAGGGATGATGGGGCTTACAGTGGGCAACACGTGGGTGACCACAGATTCTCCAAATAAATTGGTTTATTACCAAACTGTTACAGCAAAGATGGGACGCTGGGGCGCTGTGGGTAAAACCTCAGCGCCTAGGACTTGCCGATCGTATGGTCGGCGGTTCGAATCCCCGCGGCGGGGTGAGCTCCTGTCGTTCGGTCCCAGCTCCTGCCCACCTAGCAGTTCGAAAGCACCCTTAAGTGCAAGTAGATAAATAGGTACCGCTTTATAGCGGGAAGGTAAACGGCGCTTCCGTGTGCTGCTCTGGTGCCAGTTCGCCAGAGCAGCTTCGTCACGCTGGCCACGTGACCCGGAAGTGTCTGCGGACAGCGCTGGCTCCCGGCCTCTAGAGTGAGATGAGCGCACAACCCTAGAGTCTGTCAAGACTTGCCCGTAGGGGCAGGGGTACCTTTACCTTTATTACAGCAAAGAGGGCCCAGTGGGGATGGGGAACCTGCGACCTCCGGATGTTGTTTGACTTCAACTCCCATCAGCCCAAGCCAGCATGCAGAAGTAGCATGTGAGTGGTGGGGTGAAGGCAGTGGCAGTACTGTGCTTGTTGGGTGAGGCGAGACGAGGCAAGGCAGCACGGCTGGGAGACACCTGGCTTTGCCGTTGACCATGGCCAACCCAAACGTTCCCTGACGTTGCCAACACATTTCCCTTGCCCCATCCCTGTTCCAACAAGCCCAGCTTTTGAGTTAATCTGGTCAGGAGAAGCAGGTTATAAATGTTTTGGATGGTAAATAAATAACCCAGTCCCTATTCCCGTTAGGGAGGATTTGTAGTTCGGGATAGGCAAATCTGTCAATATCAGCTTGTCATTTTTTGAAACTTCGCATTTGCAATTTTCGCATTTGCAATTTTGAAACTTCGCATTTGCAATTTTCGCATTTGCAATTTTGAAACTTCGCATTTGCAATTTTTGAAAAAGTCCTCATGGAAATGAATCAGTATTTTAGTGCTAGTCCTCCAAATGTACACGTTTGCGTACAATTTTGCTTAACAGAAAGTATTTTGTGTGGTGTTTTCACTAATCTATGCATTTCAATGGAGGCATCGGGTCAGCTCAGAGCACACTGATTCCCGCTACACAAATTTCATTCCTGCACAAGGAATATAGTCTCAAGCAGATTCTTCTGGACTTGGGGGGGGGAAGGGAAATTGTTAATGCCAGTCAGAAAGCTCCAACTTGCAAGAAAATCGAGCAAGAGCTCGTGAGTGTATCCACCCAGCAGAAATAAGTTAAAATGGAGATATTACACAAGGAGGTCAAAGAAGTGGTCATACTCACCGGGCCAGGGGAGCCAACGTACAAGCCCACCTGCTACGAAAATTAAAAGATAAATTCACTGATCCTGCTTTCTCTCACAGCAATCAGAACTGAATATATGGACAAGCCTTCCCTAAGGTTTGCAAGCTGCCTAGAGGTTTTACGACAATCAGAAGAGTCCTATAAACGTTGTGAAATAAAAATAAATAAATATGGTAGGGGTGAGGAACTTATCACCACAGGGGGCCAATTATTCCCATGGGGGGCGGGTTTCAGGGTCCACGGGTCAAACCCTGGACTGGTGTCCCTGGTTTAGTTTCGTCTAGATGACAAACAATAGGGTGAAGCTGAATGCTGAGAAGATGGAGGCCCTGTAGGCTTGTACTCCCTTGGAAGAACACCTGGATCCAATACTGTTACTGGAGACCTCAGTGGCAGCTCCTCACCTTGGAATGCCATTATTATTATTATTTATTAAATTTGTAATGCCACCCTATGCTTGCAAGTCTCAGGGCAGTTCTCAACATAAAATCACAATACAGTCATACGTTGGATTAAAGTCGCTTCAGGTTGAGCGTTTTCAGGTTACACTCTGTGGCGACCCTGAAGTAACGGAATGCGTTACTTCCGGGTTTCGCCGCTCGCGCATGTGCAGACACTCAAAATGACGTCATGCACATGCGCAGAAGTGACAAATCGCGACCCACGCACGCGCAGATGCGCAGACGTGGGTTGCGTTCTGCTCAGGATGTGAACGGGGCTCCAGAACGGATCCTGTTAGCATCCAGAGGTACCACTGTATAAAAACACATAATCAAAATAAAAACAAGAACAACCCAATAATCTCCCCTCCCTGACACATTTTAAAAGGGAGGCTCCCCTGGCACTGTCATTAATATCACACAGGTGACATTTGAGAACTAATAGCAAAGAGAGGGGAAGACCACCTCGCAAGTCTGCTGCAGCTGCACTTCCTGACCACCCTGAACCATGAACTACTAAACTGGCCACGTAATCTGATGGCCCATATCAAAGAACTTAGAAGAGTTTCTCATACTTACTGAGGGAGGTTGAGGCTGCCAAGGTTGGGCCTGCACACCGAGATAGGCCTGAAAAAGACCAAGATACGTAAGCAAGTTGCTCCGTTCTGTCTCTTGCCCACCAGACATCACCCCTACAGAAGCACAATGGAAATCAAGCAGAACCACAGCACGTATTGACGAGCCAAGTCCAGGTCCTTAAAAAACTGGGGCCAGCCACTGTCAGTACTGGTTCATCCATGCAATGGCAGGGAGCCACAAACAGCTATAATTCAGCATGATGTGTGCTCTGGAGCCAGGGTCGGCCCAAGACATTTTGCCACCTGAGCCAAACCACAAGATGGCAACCCTTTGGGCCACCGCCATAATTCTGGAAAAGATCAAAACGCACAGGTTACTCAGTTCTGGCCAGACACACATCTCCATAAACTGCTCCTGAATACCAGTTGCTCAGCTAGAGGCAGACTGCATGTGTGAGTTGTGCGTGAGGCAGCTAGCACAGAACAGGGCCGTGTTTAAATAAATATTAAAACCATCCTCTGGCTGTTAAATAAATGAAACAACACTATATGGAGGAAATGTGACACCTGTCTTTACTGTTGCATCTGAGACAGCATCATGGGCAGAACTATACGAACTGTAACTTGAAGAACTTGTGCTTGAGCTTGCTTTTCACTCCTCCCTCCCCAGTCCTCTTTCCTCATGTGCCATGTCTTTTTATTTTTTATTTTATATATATATAAATTTCTATTAGTTTTTTAACATATCATTTTCAACAGTAATTAAACATACTTTTACATCTTATTCAATTTTTTTGACTTCCATCAGTCCTGTCTGAAAATTTTCCAGTCTAATCTCTTATTTTCCCTATTTCATTTCAAACTCATAACCATTCTCTCTCTCTTTTTCTACTTTGTAACACTTCGTATATTTCTCCTTACAAAACTTCTTGTAGTCCTACTGGCGTAATTTGTTGATTACAGTTGCTTTTCAAGTAATTCACATACTTCTTCCAATCTTCTGTAAATCTCTGGTCTTTTTAGATTGTCTTTAGATTGCCATGTCTTTTTAGTTTGTGAGTCTGGGGGCAGGGACTGTCTTTGATGGAGATTTCTGCACGTCAGTCTTTTTGACTAAAAGCTGGGGGTATCAGTGCCTTGGATACAATATAAATAAACCAAATAAGCAGGGAAACCTGGAGCACCTGCATGGGTTTCATTTTGGCCACGCCCACCACTGGCATGCGGCCCTCAGAGGGCTGATGAACAGTGAATGTGGCCCTCACACGCAAAAAAGTCTGTGAACTCTGTTTTAAGCATCCTTACATATTTCCACTCCATTTAAAATGAGTTTCCAAGCTTAATTCAAAGTGCTTCTCTTATCCTTAAAAGCACTAACCCAAATACCTGCTTGCCTGCCTTCTCTTGTATCAACTGAGATTGTCACCTTAGGCGTTTCTCCAGACAACCCCTCCATCTGAAGTGTGGTGGGTGCAGACCAGAGAGAGAACCTTTTTGATGGTGACTCCCTGCCTTCTCCAGGGAGGTCCTCCTGGTGCCTTCATTACCATTACAGAGGTACCTCGGGTTACATACGCTTCAGGTTACATACGCTTCAGGTTACAGACTCTGCTAACCCAGAAATAGTACCTCGGGTTAAGAACTTTGCTTCAGGATAAGAACAGAAATCGTGGTCCGGCAGCGCGGCAGCAGCAGGAGGCCCCATTAGCTAAAGTGGTGCTTCAGGTTAAGAACAGTTTCGGGTTAAGAACGGACCTCCAGAACGAATTAAGTACTTAACCCAAGGTACCACTGTATTACCAAAAACTTTGAAGAACTAAGAGAGTGAAGAGAGGGATACAAGTGAAGGTTGCCTCAGAGTCCGCTCCAGCTGATTTCCCAATGCTCAGTTTCTGAGCCATGTACTACTAAGTGATATCTAAACCAAGCTGCATAGTCTAACGCCCCATATCAAAGAACCTAGAATCTTCCAAAGAAGAGTTTCTCATACTTACTGAGGCAGGTTGAGGCTGCCAAGGTTGGGCCTGAACACCGAGATAGGCCTGAAAAAGACCAAGATATGTCAGCAAGTTGCTCCGTTCTGTCTCTTGCCCACCAGACATCACCCCTACAGAAGCACAATGGAAATCAAGCAGAACCACAGCACGTATTGACGAGCCAAGTCCAGGTCCTTAAAAAACTGGGGCCAGCCACTGTCAGTACTGGTTCATCCATGCAATGGCAGGGAGCCACAAACAGCTATAATTCAGCATGATGTGTGCTCTGGAGCCAGGGTCGGCCCAAGACATTTTGCCACCTGAGCCAAACCACAAAAAGGCCCACCTGCCCTGCCAGGGAAGAAGGGGTGGGTGAAGATCAACATCACAAGCAAGGGAGAAATAAAGATCTACATCAGGAACAAGAGGGGAGTAAAGATTGGGAACGAGGTGGGGAATCAAATCAACCTTGGAAAAGGTCGTTCTCCAGATTCCCCCTCCATCTGCAGTGTGGTGGCTGGAGATCAGAGAGAAAACCTTTTCAGTAGCTATCTGAGGGTGTATAAGTTGAGCGAAATTGTCTGATAACCCATACTCTGAATCGTCCAAGGAATCGTTTCTCATACTTACCGAATTTTGGCCGTCGTAAGAACCCTGAAAAAGATCAAGAAGCACAGCTTATTTGTCACACTCACATCTTCACAATGAAATTACAGTGATGCCAAGCAGAACCACCAACTGAAGACCAGAGAGAGAGAGAGAGCCTTTTCAGTGGTGGCTCCCTGTCCCAGAATGCCCTCCCTGTTCAAATATTATTCAAAAAAAATTGTTGCATAAACGTACATCCCCAACACCACCCAAGAACTCTGGAAACTGTAATTTACCCTTCACAAAGCTACAATTCCCAGAACCCATAACATACATCAATTCCCAAGATTTGGGGGTTGTGTGAGCTTTAAATTTGCTTTATATGCATGGTGTATAAGCAACCTAAGAGAACAAAGAGCAGAATGAAGACAGCGACCATCTCAGACCTTGCTCCAGGTGCAGCCTCTGATAAACACCCTCCCCTGAATAAGGTACTACCAATTGATATAATGAGCTATGTAGCTTCATACCTCATAGCACAGAGTCACAGTGACCCAAAGAAAACTTTCTTATACTTACTGGAGGAGGAGGCTGAGGCGGAGGTGGAGGAGGCACATTTGGGCCGGAATAACTAACCTGTAAAAGATCAAGAGACAAAGGTGGTTCAGTCCTTTTCCTTGCCTGCCTTACATCCCCACAACGAAACCAAAAATCAGTGTGGATAAGCTTGCTGTTGAGATTTGCAGGAAATTCCATCCCTATCTATAGCTCTTGGCTGCCTCCACGTGGAAATTTATTTGCACAAAAACTGATCATTCCAGGAAAAGCCCTTTCCAGGAGGAAAATAACAGCTTAGGCAGGTCCAGTGCTTTTGATAGGATCCTGTAAGCTGACCAGCCCAGCCCAGGGTAAGAAGAGGCAGAATGTCTTCTTTTAAAATAAAAATATAACATGAATTTTATTTTTCATGAAAACCCACAAGAGGAGCATGAGTGCAACCTTTCCAGCCCACTCTTCTCCCCAGCATGAGGATGCTTCACCCTGTGCATAGCTGAAGCATGGAATTTGCTAGCACAGGATTTAGTGCTAGCTGGAAGCTTGGATGGCTTTAAAAGGGGAGTTCGACAAATTCGTGGAGGGCTAAGGCTTCTGCTACTACTAGCCACAAGAGCTGTGTACTGCCTTCAGTTGTTGGGCATCACAAGTGTGGAGAGTTGCTGTTCTACTCATGCGCTGCTTTGGAGCTTCTCAAAGGCATCTGATCGGCCACTGTGAGAACAGGATGCTGGACTAGATGGGTCTTTGGTCTGATCAAGTAGGACCCTGGAAGAAGATGGCTAATTCTAGCCCAGAACAGGACTGGTCCTGTTAAACAAGTGAGGGTGTTTTGTCGCAGATCCTACTCGCGTAGCATCCTTTTTGAGAGAAAGCATAACAAAAGCAGATGGACAAAATGTGTCGTACTTACGGAGGCACCAAAACCAGGATTCCACTGCTATAACAAAACAATTGAAACAATGCTGTTAGTTTCCATGAATTTAATTTGAAATAGACCCTGTGACATAAGCCATTATTTGCAAGCTGGATTCACAGTACGATCCTATTCATTCCTATTCAGAGTCAAAAGTAACTTCCATTGAGTTCAATGGGACTTATGCCCTGGTAAGTGCAAATAGGAGTTCTGCCTTAGTTACTCTCTTATATCCGAGCACAAAAGGGTTTGTTGCATTCTCTGGAAGCACTGTATGTGGACTCAAGCCCTCTCCACAATTGGGAGACATTAACATACAGGAAAACAAGGTTTTAACCCAAAGCTCCCCACTTCAGTCAGTTACCTTCCATGTTGCAAGGAGTGGCAACGAAATTCAAATTGGTTGTATTTAAAAGCAAACCATCCTAATCTGCCCTTTCCAAAACAATGCGCAAACTGAAATGCAGTCACCCTTCCAAATTACCAGCCAGGTAATGTGTACAAACATGCATGCACAATACCAGGGTAAAGTGTGAGCATTAGTGAAAACAGCATACAAAATGTATTACACTGGGGGGTACTGCCTTGCAGAAATGTGTATATTAGGGGAAATTGCTTGCAAACATGTAAAATTTAGAAATTCGTAATGAAATGCTGATGAATTTTCAGAATTACATTTTTCTTTAATGCAATCTACTTGGAGAACAAAGCTAAAGAGAAATGAGAAACTGAGATAAGTCAACTAACACAGTTACCACACTGGCCCCCACTGCTTCTTCTTACAAGCAAGATGCCCTCTCAAAACTCTCTGGTTTTTATAAACAGTGCCTTGACTTCCATCACTGAAGGCAAGCACAGGTATCTATTAATTATTTTGGAAAACTGTTTGTTCGCTATTCATTTGGACACTTCTTAAGCTACCATAACTAAATCTTGCATGATGGTTCCTGAGATGAAGGAGCAGGTTGTCATCTATGTTTGGACCAGATGACATTTTGAATCAAGAGGGCAAACTGAACCTTTAAAAACTGTCCTGATTTTAACCACTAGTTCCAATTTTTATTTTTAAAAAATTGTTTTTGATAATTCCCGAGCAAGCTGGGTTCGGGGCTTCTGGTCAATAAATAACATGACACTTTAGATTCACATTGGTTTAGGTCCCCCCCCCCAACCTCCCCCCACTAGCATCCAATTAAAAGCTGATGCAGTTCTACTAGAAGTCCGTTTCCATCTCACCTGTGCATCCGTTTCTCTTGCACAAAGTGCAGAGATTAAAAGAACCGTGGCTACAACCGGGAGCTTCATTTTAGCCCAGGATCAGGCTTCCGTCCCGGGTGCGAAATCGTTCAAAGGTGTGAACTGTGGCTCAGAAGCTGCTATTTATTGACCCATCACCACAAGCCACACTGCCCAAACTTAAAGCGCCCATTGAGAGTGTCGCCAAATTACCTTATCTGGAAGGAAAGGTCAGAGGAACTGATTCATCACAGGGACACTCTTGCGGAAAGGACACCCTGCTTCCAGAGCCAACTGCTACGTGGACTCTTAAACGCCTCTGTAATGGAATGTTAATATGTCTTCAACAACCACATTTGGATCCCTTAATATTTTGACTTCATTATGTGGGACAGATACGTTTTGTTGATTTTCAAGACCATGTTTAATGCATTTTAACCATAGCATAGTTAATACCTGCAAAAGGGATGCAGGTGGCATTGTGGTGTAAACCACAGAGCCTCTTGGGCTTGCCAATCAGAAGGTCAGTGGTTCAAATCCCTGAGAGGGGGTGACCTGCCGCTGTTCTGTCCCAGCTCCTACCAATCTAGCAGTTCAAAAGCATGCCAGTGCAAATAGATAAATAGGTACCACTGGGGCAGGAAGGAAAACAGCATTTCCATGCGCTCTGGTTTCCGTTACGGTTTTCCATTGCACCAGAAGCAGCTTAGTCATTGTGGCCACATAACCCAGAAAGCTGTCTGTGGACAAACGCCGGCTCCCTTGGCCTGAAGCGAGGTGGGCGCTGCACCCCATAGTTGCCTTTTACTGGACTTAACCATCCAGGGGTCATTTACTTTTACCTTACCTAATACTTGCAACGACATAAAAACTGCAAACTCGACCAAGCTTATGATTAGCAAGATAAATGACTTAGTTTGGTGAAGTTATTAGTTTACTGAAAACCTCAGACAGAAACTTTAAGGGTTATTGGAAACCCTTTATTATTGGCATTGCACTCAGAATTTAGGATTCTTTTCGGCAGCCTGGGCCCAAGCCATATAGGGCTTTATAGGTCATAACCAGCACTTTGAATTCTGTATGGAAACTTGCACAAACTTACACTATGTCACAGGGCTGGCCCACCCATGAAATGGGGTGAAGCAGCCGCTATGGGCATTGGAAGCCCCCCAAAACAGGGTCCCCAAGGCACAACACACCCTGCCTCCTCTACCACTCGCAGAAAAACCACACTGATTTCCAGCAAGATCTCACCAAGATCTTGTGAGATCTCATGCACTCCACAATATCCCATGAGAGTTTGGCAAAGTCTCATGAGATTTTGCAAGATCTCACTGGAAATCTTGGAAAACACCGGTGGCGGCGGTGGCACAGGAAGTGTGATGGCGGCAGGTTAGGATGGCACTTCCTGTTCCACCTCGTGGTGAAACAGGATATGCCGTCCCTTTTATGTCTGGTCTTCCTTGAGCATTCATTCTCATTTGTTTGCGGGGCGATACTACAATAATTTGCTTCTGTGGAGTTTATACATCTTCCTGCAAATCCTTTGTTTAGTTCACACTTCTCACTTTCCTTACCATAAAATGACTGGGTTTTTGTTTTGTTTTGAAGTGGATTTCTTGTGCTAGGGTAACAGAGTGCTGTAATGCACTTTAATTGTGCAAAAGTAACTTTCTGGTATGCCCTGAAATCCCTCTTGCACAAAGACTGGCAGTCTGAAGACAAAGGAAAAAGAAGGAAAGCCAACTGCATACATAACTAACAGAAATTTGGTTCTCTACAAAAAAATTTGAGATTAATCCAGGCTGGCTGAGATTCCACGCTCCACACAAATTTATTCAGAGAAGAGTGAGTTTCAAAGGATGTCTTGTATTGTTTTGGTAGAGCAGGAGGCTCTTAATCTCAGGGTTGTGGGTTTGAGCCCCACATTGGGCAAAAACTCCTACATTGCAGGGGTTTGGTCTAGTTGATCCACTTGGTCCAATCCAACTCTATGATTCTATGATTATCATAGTATGAATTAGGTGCTACCACACGGAAAGATCAGTTGCAGGTTTGATCCCCATATGAGACAGCTGCATATTTCTGCATTGGTACATAGGTAAAAAAGGTAAAGGACCCCTGGTCAGTTAAGTCCAGTCAAAGGTGACTGGGGCTGGGCGCTCATCTCACTTTCAGGCTGAGGGAGCCGGCGTTTGTCTGCAGACAGCTTTCCAGGTCATGTGGCCAGCATGACTAAATCGCTTCTGGCACAATGAAACAATGTGATGGAAACCAGAGTGCATGGAAACACCATTTACCTTCCCACCGGAGTGGTACCTATTTAACTACTTGCACTGGTTTGTGCTTTCGAAATGCTAGGTTGGCAGGAGCTGGGACAGAGCAACGGGAGCTCAATCCATCGTGGGGATTCGAACTGCTGACCTTCTGATCGGCAAGCCCAAGAGGCTCATTGGTTTAGACCACAGCAACACCCGCATTACAGCGGTTTGGACTAAGTGATCCTCAAGGTCCCTTCCAACTCTACAGTTCTATGGTTCCATTATTTCTTTACAAAAGCGGGAAAAGTATTATGTGACACCTGTAACAGGGCCTATTCCACTGAATGCTGATGGCTTCAGCGGACTCTAGGTAGCCGTGCCAACTAAGCAGGGGTGGAATCTGGGTAACTGACCTTGTATGTGCTTATCAGAGATGCCATCTGCAGAAATCAGCAGTGGCTTTTCTTCCCGGAATGAAACTAGACCTTATCACCTACTAAGACTTGAAAACCAACCTTCTTTTAAAAGCACACCGCCTGGGATTCGTTCCAGATTGGAAACTCTTAATACTGGACCCATTCAAAAGAACTACAGTATCGGCCAATTTTTTTGCACACATGCCTGCACAACTGTGCTCATTTATTAGCTAACAAAATAACTCACAGGCCTAGTCTAATCTAATCCAGGGATGAGCAATTTTAAGATTTGCAGTATCTACTTAGTTAGTTAGTTAGTTAAATTAAAAGCTAGTCTCCATCATCTGGAAGTTAGTGCAATGGGGTCTTGTGGTTTCTTGAAGACTAAGGGTGCTTCCAGGTGTGGTTTGATTGTGGAATTCCCACTACAGCCATACCTTGGTTCTCAAATGGAATCCGTTCCAGAAATCCGTTCGACTTCCGAAAACATTCAAAAACCAAGGCACAGCTTCCGATTGGCCGCAGGAGCTTCTGCCACGTCAGATGTTCGGGTTCCAAAGAACGTTCGCAAACCGGAACACTCACTTCCGGGTTTGCGGCATTAGGGAGCCAAAATGTTTGAGTCGCAAGGCATTCATGAACCAAGGTACAACTGTACTCATGTACACAGGTTCCCCCCCCCCCGCAGTGTTCACACAATGCCACCATCAGCAAAAAGCCAGGCCAAATACATTCCTTTAAATATTCACAGAACAATCCTAACAAGAGAAAGCTGGCACAACTTTTGCTGCTGCTGTGTCGTGTTGGGTTAACTTAACTCCACTTCCAAACTCCGTTCACAAGGAGCTTGATTTACACTGCCCTTTTCACCTGCTTCATTTCTCTGGTTTGGCAGGTCACATAATCAAGCTGGTAGGGTTGGAACAGGTGTAAGATTCTCCTGTCCTTGGGCCACCTCCACCACACATGCCGGGGTGACCCCTTTGGGGACTCATACTGGCTTCTGTTCTGATCCACGATGAGGGAATTATGCCATCAGATCTAAGGCTCAGCCAAGTGGAGGGGCTTTTGCTGGCGTAGCCCTGGCTCAGCCAGAAACGCGCAACCAAGAACCCGCCAATTCCAAACTCTCTCATCCCAGTGGCGCACGGAAACGCCGTTTACCTTCCCGCTGCAGCGGTACCTATTTATCTACTTGCACTGGTGTGCTTTTGAGCTGCTAGGTTGGCAGGAGCTGGGACAGAGCAACAGGAGCTCACCCCATTGCAGGGATTTGAACTTCCGACCTGACTGGCAAGTCCAAGAGGCTCAGTGGTTTAGACCACAGTACCACCCCTCTGCCTGCTATATTTTGAGAACCCTGCTGGCAGCAGCTGTTCTCTCAAGATTTCCACCCCTTGTCCTTTTAGTGCACCCCCCAGGGGGTGGTACTCTCACCTTTAGCAACCCCTGCTCTAAACTACGGCCAGGCAGCAGCAGGACACGGCAGAGTAACAGTCACCACAACACCTGCAGCTCTGTTGCTCAAGCCACCCTGGACGCCTCAGAGTTGCTCAAAACCACCATCCCAGCCTCACCTCCTCATTTCCTGTAAGTCACTCTTGGTCGCATGCTACCCCAGTGTGAGTCGAACAACAGGTTGTGCTTAAATTTATATTAAATGGGATTTTTTTAAAAATGACTTTTCCCACCAGAAATAAAAGCCTGATTTAGAAGAGAAGGAACAGTTTTCTTTACAACACCTTTTTGCTTGGGAACAGAGCAAATTTAAATACATGTCTTGTATTTGGACAATGGAGCTGTCAGTCTCACTTTAGAAATTGAGAACTCTCAAAGGAGAGGCAAAATAGAGGTCTATGACTGCCGCCTAGTGGATAGATTGGCAAGCTGCTACTTGTTCTTCTAAGTCAATGGTCTTCAATTGACGTTTTATTTATTTTTTGATGATTCAGAGATGTAATCAAGAAAAGGAGGCATGAATATTTCAGCGGCAGAGGGTCTATAACAGCACAGCAACGCGCTTGTGCAGTGTCCACAGCTGGCAAGGGAGGGAATTTAAGAAGCCAGCATAAACTGAGTCGGACCACTGGCCCAACCAGCAGCTTTAAAAGGTTTTGGATAAAACTCTTTCCAGAGGTTGGAGATGCCAGAGGTTTTACCTGGGCTCTTTAGCATGGAAAGCAGATGCTCTACATCCTAGGTATGGCCCCTCCCCTAAAGGGAGAAAAACAAGAGAGAAAAGGCACACTTTTTTTTAAAAAAAAAGCTGGGCCCCATGTTTAATGATGGAACTAAAGGTGATGCCAGAGTCAGAAAAGTCTCTCTGTTCTACAGGATCAGTTTAACTCAATCTCTATGAAAAGCAACTGGCATGCAGGTGGCACTGCGGTCTAAACCACTGAGCCTCTTGGGCTTGTCGATCGGAAGGTCAGTGGTTCAAATCCCTGCAATGGGGTGAGCTCCTGTTGCTCTGTCCCAGCCTAGCAGTTCGGAAGCACACCAGCGCAAGTAGATAAATAGGTACCACTGCGGCGGGAAGGTAAACGACCTTTCTGTGCGCTCTGCTTTCCATCACAGTGTCCCGTTGCGCCAGAAGCCGTTTACCCATGCTGGCCACAACCGGAAAGCTGTCTGTGGACAAAAGCCGGCTCCCTCGGCCTGAAAGCGAGATGAGTGCTGCAACCCCATAGTCGCCTTTGACTGGACTTAACCATCCAGGGGTCCTTTACCTTTAACAATGGAAACAAATGTTATGCTGTCAGGCACAGGTCATGGTGATGCCAGGTGAGATTTCAATGTTGTGTACAGTATAAGCTTTGGGGAGAAGAGAGGTGGTGGGGAGAGAAGAGGGAGAGGGGGATAGTAAACTTGTATTATTTTACTTAGTGCATGTGGGAGCTTTTTGTGTCAGCATCACTTGGGTAGGTTCTCTTTCTATTCATTTATTTTCCTTTGGCAGTGAGGAGGGCGGGCACGACATGTTTGGCTGTCTTTAGTTGACTGGAGGGTATTGAGGAGGGTTTGGGAATATCCTTTATCTTATTCTACTTCCTCCTCCACCCTTTTCTTCCCCTCCAGCTAGAGAACAATTAGAATATGCCCCAGACTCTCATGCAGGTGCCCAGTCTGGGATGCTGGGAGTTCTAGTCCAAACATCTTGAGGGTACTAGGTTCAGGAAGACTGCAGGGATAATATTCATTATTGTTTATATATACAATTAAGATAATAAATCCAGTTCAGTGGTGGTCATTTGTTCTTTATTTTAAGACGTTGTAGTGGTTTCATGGTGCCCAGCCATGTTTTCTTTTTATGAGTTGGTGGTTAATAAATATTGTTATAAATTAAATAATATAATAAAATTAACACTTGCGTGCGCCCCTTGGTTAATTCCTCCACCCGCCCACCCATCAACAGCCCTCAATATTTTTTATTTCCCCACCACCAGAATAAAACAAAGAGCCATTTCCCCCCCCGCATTCAGCACTCATTGTTTGCATCACTATGCTGCCCCCTTCGTCCCCATTCATCTGTTGTGATGTCATCATAGAGCCATTGTAGTTTCCTAGGCGACTACAGTCAACAATTGTTCCCCCAACCCCTTTCCGTATCCACCTCTCATGAGTTACAATGGCTTCCTTAGTTCCAGAGACTTTGGATAACCCACCTAGGCCTTCAGGTGATGGATCTGGGAAGAATATTGCAGGGTCTGGGAGGGAAAGCAAGAGCCTAACTAGCTGTAGGAAAAACGAAACAGAAGGGTGGAGAATTGAGACCGGGAACCGGGAGTTCCATGGCCCAATTCAGCCTCCTAAATTGTGCTGGCTGACCCTAAACGGACAACCCAGAGGAAGGTGTGGTGGCTCTCAAAATGGAAGCCCTTGGTGGAGCTCTTTGAGAAGAAGGGGCCTGGTTGAACACTAAGTGATCTTCAAGGAGAACTAGTAGTTGAAATGAAGTACAGAGGAATGATGGAGACCCACTTTTGCCAACCTGGAGCTTTGCAGATGGTTTTGGTCAACAACTCCCAGCAGCTCCAGTGGCAGCCCAAAACATCTGGAATGGTCCAGGCCTGCAAAGGCTGATGGACTCCACAAATCAATGCCACTCATAAGAAAGCTGGACCCATGTACACTGTCAAAGTTTTTCACCTTTCTCATCAGCTTCTTCGCTGCCTATCAGCCACTCTCCATCTGTCACATTCTCTCAGTTCCTTTATCCAAACCCACTTCCAAGCTTATATATCTTGACTCTCTCAAGGTCAAGTTTGAACGAATGGCTGGTTGGCTAGCTTATTAGTATCCTTAACAAACTGCATGGCCCAATAGGATTGACCTCAGCTATACACATCAATGCACCCCTCCCCCCAAAAATCACCCTGCCTAAAAAAAATAAAACACACTCCAAATAATTCAAGGATAAAGCACAAAAAGAAAACCAGTAAGAAAAGGCCTATCATTCATCCAGTTCACCTTTAAAAGGCCTTGGTAAATGAAAAGGTCTTGGACCTATCAGTAAATTTTATTGGAAAGGGGTGGGGAGTAATAACTGTTGGGTAGAATAGGTGCCACTACTGAAAAAGCTTTGTGTGGAGATATGTTGCATCCAGTGCTTTTTTTTTCTTTCTTTTAAAATGTTTAGGGATACTCTCATTTTCCTACTCATATTGAAATACTGCCCCTCAATGAGGCCAAACTTAGATTCACAAAATGTTTAGGGGTATGTGTACCCCTGCGTCCCCCCAGAAAAAAAGCACTGGTTGCATCTACAGAGATCTTCCTTTCCTTCTTTTTGCAAAACTATTGCCCAATCTATCTGGAGATCTACAGGTGGTCAGTTTAGCTTACTAGTTAAACTGGTCATTCTTTTGGGTCGTCACTATGTTCCTCTCAAACAAGTCCTCTAGACTTGAGAGAGAGTGTTGTGGGTGTGGGTGTGTGCATGTGTCTTATCTCATTTGTGCTGGAGTATGGAGAAAGTCAGCAAAAGTGACAATCTCTCCTACTGTTCTAAAGGAGCTCGCCACTGTTTCATACTTACTCTAAATCACAGCACAAATGAGATCTCTAGGGAGGATATCTGTAGTATCCAGAGACTCAGAGTAGGATGTCTCCAGCAAGCAAATGAGTGGATTTGCTGCCATTCGATCCTGACCCTTTGGGTTGTACACTCACAGGTGATGAAGGGATCCCAGGTCTCCCTGCCCCGCTGCAACAGGGCAAGCCCCTCCCCATTGCAGGAAGTGGTACCAAGCCTGGGGGAGGGAACCCCTCGCAAGACTTTCTGCTTCCTCCACCTCTTCTGCCGTCACCCCATCTCTTTAGCCAGGCAGCTCCACACAACACCTCTCCCGGAGTTGTCTACAGCTTGCCCGGCTCCACCGCAGCAACCACCTCATCACCCCCGAGGCTGGTCCAAACTCTCCCGGGCTCCTTCCCAGATATCTATGATGGAGACATGAAAAGGTGGGAGGACCATTTCCGCAGCATCCAGAGAGCCTACAAAGAGTTTGGCAAAGAGGATGACTTTGCGATCCGGGTGCTCACTGAAGATTTCACCCTCCCGTTCCCTTTCGCCTGGCCCAGCAAGGGCGAGGCGTCCCGGCAGCTGGCGTACGACCCCTCGGACTGCTCCGGCTTCGATTTCTTCCTGCACCCAGGGCAACCGGTCCCTCACCTCCTCCAGCCACTGCATGCCACCACCCAGGCATTCTTCAAGAAGAGGCGTCTGGAGCAACTGGCTCTCAGTTACGCCAGCAAAGCGTCCCTCGCCGGTGCTCCTGGGCTGCCCACGCAGCAAGAAACGAGTCCCACCTTGCGGCCGGACATCATGGTCATCACCAGCATGCCCTGCGTGGCTGCCGCGGCAGCTCCCGGCGAGCCACCTTTCCTCCTGCAAGACGGCAAAGGCCACAGGAACATCCAACCTGCCCCAATAGCTATCCCAAGCTCAGCACCAATGCAGTCCATCAACCTTCAGTTCATGAGCCCCACGCACCATGGGCAGTTTTAGTCCTCTTGGACATTTTAGATCAAAGGAAGGCAACTTGATGCTCTCCAGGTATTGAGCTCCCATCAGCCCTTGCAGCTTGGATATTAGTCAGAGGTGATGGAAACATCTGCAGGGCATCATGTTGGCCACCACTCTTCCAGATGTTAGCAATAGTCCTGAAGCAGGACGTATTTTTAAGACTTTTTTAAAGACCCAACACCTTCATCCCAGCATTGGTGCTCTGAACATCTAACTGAGGCTAGCAGCTGAGCTGCTAAACACTTTGCGTACGGCTACAGATGTCCACCTTGCAACCCGAGTCTGGCTCCCTAGAGAGGACATTAATAAAAAAAGCTTTCTGTCTCCCACTCCGTAGAGCTTTGGTGTTGAGATCATTGGGATGGGGGCAGGCGCTGTCCAATAGTCACTTGCTTTTTATGTAAAAATACCTATACACCAATCTGTAGATTGGACTACTGCAATGTGCTCTATGCAGGGGCTGCCCTTGAAGATGGGCAGCTGGTATAGAATTTTGTGGCCTGATTCTTCCAACAGAAAAGACCACAAAAAGAAGGTGTTTGTATTGCCACAGCTGTCCAGGATGCCACCAAACTACTGGACCCAATTCAAGGTGGTTGCAATTACCTTTAAACCCTGAGCACGCTTGAGCCTAGCATGCCTTAGGGAGAACATCCTCCCACTTCTTCCAACCCTTGCTCTCAGGACCAGGGAGAGTGGAAGAGTCTCCCTTAGAAGGTTATGGATTCTCCTTCATTTGAGGCTTTTAAGCAGAGCTTGGATGGTCCTGTCACCTAGATGACCCTTCGAGTCCCCTCAAACTCTACAATTCTATGAAACCTCAGCGACTGTAACATCCTTTAGGAAGGTGTGTGGCTTCACTGAATGGTGGAGGGTCTTCTCAGTGGTAGAACCTACATTGTGGAAGAATCTTCCCAGAGAAGATTCTTTACTCTCTTAACTATTCATGTTTTACCAGAAAATGAAGACAAACCTGTTTTCCAACCCCTCCGCGGACAAAGTATCTGCTGATTTGTGTTTGGGTTTTTTTTGCTCTAGCTCTTACCAATAATTTTCTTGCTGTGCTGGATTTTGTTTTTTGTAAATGGTTTTCTATTTCTTTCATTAGTCATTTTAGTTTAGCTTTGTTGCACACCACCAAGAGTGCTTTGTAGAAAAGCAACAAACATTTAAAATAAATTTAAAAATTCAGAAGTGCTGGGAGAGAGGGTGGGCAGGAAAGCAGATCCTCTTTGTTCTTCTGTCCTCATCGTCACACAACTGATTAAATGTATCCACCAAAGTTGGACGTCCCTTCTAGATTCGCACTGTGGATTCCAAGCTGTAGCAGATGGGAGTGATCTGATCCCCACAATGTTTGGCAGTGTGGTCAGCATGAGCTGCGGAGGATGCTTTCGCCTTTGGAATAAGATGTTACAGCTCTGCTGGGGAAAACTGGATGGCGTCAAAGACTGACTGGATGCCAAGGATCGGTGGGAGGAACCGGCTGGAGAACCACCAAGGGAAGAAGGCTCAGAGCTCGGGGAGCGGTGGTGGGACAGTGATGAGTGGTCAGAGGAAGAAGAGAGAGAAGACTGGGAAGTGGTGGTGTCGGAAGCTGAAGGGGAACAGGGCTTAGTGAGCAGGAAGAGTCTGTGGCAGAGAGCGGTCCAGAATCAGAGGCAGAAGCTGAAGCAGGTGAGGAGGCAGGAGAGAGGCCAAGAGGCAGAGATAATAATAATAATAATAATAATAATAATAATAATAATAATAATTTATTATTTATACCCTGCCCATCTGGCTGGCTTTCCCCAACTACTCTGGGCAGCTTCCAACAAAACACTAAAATACATTAACCTATTAAACATTAAAAGCTTCCCTAAACAGGGCTGCCTTCAGATGTCTTCTAAAAGTTTAGTAGTTATTTTTCTCTTTGACATCTGGTGGGAGGGCGTTCCACAGGGCGGGTGCCACTACCGAGAAGGCCCTCTGCCTGGTTCCCTGTAACTTGGCTTCTCACAATGAGGGAACCGCCAGAAGGCCCTCGGCACTGGACCTCAGTGTCCGGGCAGAACGATGGAGGTGGAGACGCTCCTTCAGGTATACTGGACCGAGGCTGTTTAGAGCTTTAAAGGTCAGCACCAACACTTTGAATTGTGCTCAGAAACGTACTGGGAGCCAGTGTAGGGTCTGCTTCAACAAGCTTCCCTCTCATTTGGTCTCTCAGAACCAGAAGAGGCGTGAAAAGGGCAGAGGAGATACTGGTGACACACATACATAGTCTCCAATTGCTTGGGGAAGAGAGGAGCGGGACTTAAGCACCTGTGGGAAGGTGGTCACCTTCAGTCTCAGCAACAGCTTCATGGGGAGCAAGACCTGCAGGAGATGAGTTGCTGTGCTCATTAGGCCTGACACTCCTGTGCAGATCATGTTTCTGCTAATAAAGAGTTAACTCCCACTTGCTAGTGTGATTTACTGCTGGCTCACTCCTGACAGGAGGACACAGTGATGGAAAGGGAAGTGATTTTACTTTGCTGCAATTGTTTCTACAATGTACGGCTGCCTTCCGCAGCCTGGTACCCACCCAGACTTTGGAACTACAACTCCCAAAGCTTAGCCAACGGTCAGGGATGAATGGAGCTGCAGTTCAACACCTGGAAAGCTACATGTTCTCCATCCCTGATCTAAACATTATTCAAAGCAATCACTTTGGAGCTGCTCTCATGAGGGACCTGAAACTCAGAACTGCTATGGAACCAAGGAAACATGAAGTCACATGAGCAGATTAGGATATGCAAATCTACAATAATAATAATAATAATAATAATTTATTATTTATACCCCGCCCATCTGGCTGGGCTTCCTCAGCCACTCTTTTGGAAAGCCACTCCTTTCCAAAAAAATATTAAAATACTGTAATACATCAAACATTAAAAGCTTCCCTAAACAGGGCTGCCTTCAGATGTCTTCTAAAAGTCTGGTAGTTGTTGTTCTCTTTGACATCTGGTGGGAGGGCGTTCCACAGGGAGGGCGCCACTACCAAGAAGGCCCTCTGCCTGGTTCCCTGTAACTTGGCTTCTCGCAGTGAGGGAACTGCCAGAAGGCCCTCGGTGCTGGACCTCAGTGTCTGGGTAGAATGATACTGGACCGAGGCTGTTTAGGGCTTTAAAGGTCAGCACCAACACTTTGAATTGTGCTCAGAAACGTACTGGGAGCCAATGGAGGTCTTTCAAGACCAGTGTTATATGGTCTCAGCGGCCGCTCCCAGTCACCAGTCTGGCTGCCGCGTTCTGGATTAGTTTTAGTTTCTGGGTCACCTTCAAAGGTAGCCCCACGTAGAGCGCATTGCAGTAGTCCAAGCGGGAGATAACCAGAGCATGCACCACTCTGGCGAGGCAGTCCGCAGGCAGATAGGGTCTCAGCCTAGGTACCAGATGGAGCTGGTAAATAGCTGCCCTGGGCACAGATTTGACCTGTGCCTCCATGGACAGCTGTGAGTCCAAAATGACTCCCAGGCTGCGCACCTGGTCCTTCAGGGGCACAGTTACCCCATTCAGGACTAGGGAATCCTCCACATCTGCCCGCCTCCTGTCCCCCAAAAACAGTACTTCTGTCTTGTCAGGATTCAACCTCAATCTGTTAGCCACCATCCAAGCTCCAACCGCCTCCAGACACTCACACAGGACCTTCACTGCCTTCACTGGTTCTGATTTGAAAGAGAGGTAGAGCTGGGTATCATCCGCATACTGATGAACACCCAGTCCAAACCCCTTGATGATCTCTCCCAGCGGCTGCATGTAGATGTTGAAAAGCATGGGGGAGAGGACAGAACCCTGAGGCACCCCACAAGTGAGAGCCCAGGGGTCTGAACACTCATCCCCCACCACCACTTTCTGAACACGGTCCAGGAGGAAGGAGCGGAACCACTGTATGACAGTGCCCCCAGCTCCTCAAGACGGTCCAGAAGGATGTTATGGTTGATGGTGTCAAAGGCCACTGAGAGATCCAGCAGAACTAGGAAACAGCTCTCACCTTTGTCCATAGCCCACCGGAGATCATCAACCAGTGCGACCAAGGCAGTTTCAGTCCCATGATGAGGCCTGAATCCCGACTGGAAGGGATGCAGGCCAAAAAGAGCAGGTGATGTCACAAGGCTGTCAGTCTTGAACTGCAGGGAAGAGAGACCCACTCGGGTAAGGCCTGTAGCTTAGTGGTAGAGCACCTTGAAGGTCCCAGGTTCAATCCCTAGCATCTCCAGGTAAAGGTGTGAATGTCCTCAAAGAGCTACTGCCAATCAGTGTGGACAATATTGACCTAGAGCAGTGTTTCTCAAAACTTGTTTGACTTTTGTTGGACTACAACTCCCATCATCCCTAGGGGTCAGAAGGGACTAATGGGGTCAGAAGGACCAGGGGTCAGAAGGGACTAACGGTCGGACTCGGTAAGACAGCTTCCCATAATAACCACGTAATAACAGAGAAAAATAATTAAGAAGCTCCCCCAATCGTTAACTCTTAGCTTGAGTCAGATAGGAGACCTGGAAGGTCACATTTCCCTCCCCCCCCCCATAGCTGTCAACCTTCCCTTTTATTGGAGGGAAATTGCCTTATTCCAGCGCCGTTTCCCGCTGCTATCCCGGATTGTTAGATATCCCGTAGACTGTCCCCGGGACAGGTGAGGATGCTGATCCCTTATTTTCAAATCTGAAAGTTGACAGCTATGCCCCACCCCCCACTGGCCTAATGTTCCCCACTCCAATCCTACACTAAGGTTGCTTAAGCTAAGAAAGGCCGGAGCTGGGTTTGTGCCTGGAAGAAAAATACAGTGGTACCTCAGGTTACATACGCTTCAGGTTACAGACTCCGCTAACCCAGGAATAGTACCTCGGGTTAAGAACTTTGCTTCAGGATGAGAACAGAAATCGCGCAGAGGCAGTGTGGCGGCAGCGGGAGGCCCCATTAGCTAAAGTGGTGCTTCAGGTTAAGAACAGTTTCAGGTTAAGAACGGACCTCCAGAACGAATTAAGTACTTAACCCGAGGTACCACTGTACCTGCATCTTCTATGTACAGTATTTTTTGCTCTATAAGACTCACTTTTTCCCTCCTAAAAAGTAAGGGGAAATGTGTGTGCGTCTTATGGAGCGAATGCAGGCTGCGCAGCTATCCCAAAAGCCAGAACAGCAAGAGGGATCGCTGCTATCACTGCACAGTGATCCCTCTTGTTGTTCTGGCTTCTGAGATTCAGAATATTTTTTTTCTTGTTTTCCTCCTCCAAAAACTAGGTGTGTCTTGCGGTCTGGAGCGTCTTATAGAGCGAACAATACGGTACCTTGTCCCAAGTTCCATTGAAGAAAAGTAATGTGTACACACACATATATATGGGGTAATCAGTGGCTGCTCCCAGACTCTGGAAATCCCTCCCTGGAGAAGCCAGACTCGCTCCCTCTGGGGTAAAAATAAAGAAATAAATAATAGTGTCAGCTGAGTGGTTAATGCACTTAACAACCATCCACCCTATGCAATTTGCCCAGTCCTCTTTTAAAGCAGTCCAAGTTTGTGACCATCACTGCCTCCTGAGGGAGCAAATGCCATAATTTAACTGTGCACTGCTTTTAGTCTACTTTACAGCAAGCTACAGTGGTGCCTCACAAGACGAAATTAATCCATTCCGCGAGTCTCTTCGTCTTGCGGTTTTTTCGTCTTGCGAAGCACGGCTATTAACGGCTTAGCGGCTATTAACGGCTTTAAGAAAAAGGAAACAAACTCGCAAGAACTCGCAAGACGTTTCGTCTTGCGAAGCAAGCCCATAGGGAAATTCGTCTTGCGGAATGACTCAAAAAACGGAAAACTCTTTCGTCTTGCGCGTTTTTCGTCTTGCGAGGCATTCGTCTTGCGAGGTACCACTGTATTAGGAGGTTTCACTCTGGAATCATGGATTGGCACAGCTAAGCACAATATCCACAGGGTGGCCCTAGCCCTTCCATCAATCTCCTGTTAGCAGGGCTGTTGGCCGTTTGCAAATTTCCGTCGCCGCCCCGCATGATTGACATGCAATTTTGCATGGAGTTTCCCTCAGCTCACAATTTGGCTCTCACCATGCCTGAAAACAAGCAAACAAGAATTCCCTTCCTCCTGCCACTCAAAGAGAGTAAGCCCGCCCCTGGAAGCCTTCATTGGTAAATGCATCTTAATCGCGTGACTTCTTCTGGCCTACCACGGCTCAAGAGAGGCCTCCCACCCCCACCCCCACCCCGCTGGTTGTTTTGTAGCCCTTTGACAACTGAATCGCCAGGCTCGCTGGATGTCAAGCTACAGGATCTCCTATCTGAGCCGCCTGAGATCGCTGGAAGGAAAGCTGCAATCCTAACAAGACAGGCACGCCCGCCCGCCCGCTTCCTTAGGAAAGGGGCTTATTACAATTTAACAGAATCGACTGCCAAGTAAACATGCAAAATAGAAGCAGCAAGTCTCGCCTCTCTGCGTCGTTAACACACACACACACCGCGCGCTTTTTAGTGGAATGGGGTCCTGCTCGCTCGCCTTAAATTAGGGACGGGGAACCTGCAGCCATTCAGGAGTCTCTGGGGAGACCCCTCCCCGCTCCGGTCTGGGACAAAAGAGTTTTGCTCACGCAACGTAACAGCGGATTAATTTGTAGAAAGTAGGTCAAGACACGGCTTTTGTGCTGATAATTCCATTTTAGTAGACTAAAACAGCGTCTGGGTACCAGATCCCGGGAGCTAGCAAGCCCGCACCTAGCGCAGTGGACGCTGCTTTCCGAGTATACACGCACAGCGTCCGCCAGCCCACGGCTGCTAACTCGGAAGCAACTGCGACTCTGTCCAGCGGGGCCCGCGCCCAGATTAAGCGTCCACAGGCTGGCAGCTCGAGCAAATATTCTCCGTAGAGCATGCTCAGTGGCAGCAGGAAAGGGTGGGAGGCGAAACGCAGCACAGCTGGAGCCTTCGCTTGTTTACTCCTTAAGTCTTATCGAGTACAATGGCCCTTGATTTTTAGCAAACCGCGCTTGAGATGGTAGCCTTGCAGGCGCAGCTTCGAGTTGTTGCGCCGAGCTAAGTGGTTCACCGAACCGGGCTCCTATCTGCTCTCTCTCCAGCCCCACATCCGCCCCGCCAGTCAAGTAGTATTCAGGGGGCTCCTTCTACCGTTTGAGCTGTCACAACTCCCGTCCCAAGCACACCCCAGCTGCCTCTAGCATGTACGCATGCGCCCTGGGGACCGCAATAGCTGGGGGGTTACGAGCTTAAAAGTATCCGATCGCGCGTAGATACCGTCTTCCTCCCCCCCCCACCCCCCGCGCGCGATCCCTTTCTTGCAGCTCCGCCGTTGCAACATTCTCCCGCAATCGCCCAACGTTCTAAAACAACAAAGAACGCTTCCCCACACACCCCACCGCCTTCCCACGCTGCCGCAACGTTCGATCGAACCCCGCAACGTTCTATCCGCCGCGGCGGCTCGTTTGCAACGTTCTATTCCACCCCTCCTCCACCGCTGCCGCCGCCGCCGCCTCTTTCTTCCCCCGCCCCGGATCGTCGCAGCGTTCTATCCCCTCCCCCTCCTCCCTCTCCCTCTCCGGATTGTTGCAACGTTCCATCCGCTGCTTGCTCGCCGACGTTCCAAAGCAGGCCGCGGACGTTCGATCGGCAGCAGCAGCAGCAGCAGCTCCTCGGATCCTTTTCCGCCCTTTCCCCCCTTTCTTTCAATCCGCATCCTCCGGCTCCCACGCTCTCCCGTCTCTTCCCCCCTCACGTGTCCCGGGCTCCCAGCTGGGGAAGGAGGGGAGAGAGAGAGAATCTCTCGCTCTCTTTCCTCCTCACATGACCCGAGTGTTTGTCCCCGTGATCAGCGCCTCGGCTCCCGTGTCTCCTCCGCGTCCCCTCTACCTCCATCCGGCGTGAGATTTAAACTTCGTCCCCTCCCTCCTCCCCTCCCGCCCCCTTCTCCCCCTGGTGCTGCGGGGGTCTTTCCCCCACCCCCTCTCCCTCCCCCCTCCCTTTCCCCCCCTTCCCTTCTCCCCCCATGGACATGCTGGATCCCGGCCTGGACACAGCCACCGCCTCCGCTGCATCCAGGTAAGGGGGGAAAGATCCCACGACACCCCCATTTAGCAGGGCGGGGGGGCTACGGCACCCAGCCTTCCCTCTCTTCTCGGGCCTAGCGAGGGTGGGGGAGGGGAGAGGGAAACAGCCATGATCCTCCTGCGGCGGCAGCAGCAGCGGCGCAGAGAGAGTGGGGGAGAACAAAATGGAGGACGAGGCAGAGCTTAGGCTCTCCGGGACGGGGAAGTGGGACGAGGGTGGGGGGGACACGGCAATTCCAGGGGACGTGACCTGGGTCTGAGAACTGGGTGTCTGGAATAAAAGGGAAAGTGTGTGTGGGGAGAGAGAGAGAGGTTGTGATCAGGAGGACTCCGTGCCATTGTAGGGTGAGAAGCAACGGGACACCCCCCCCCAAAAGAAAAACCCCACACTCGCACACGCACCGTCTAAGATCTGAAATGCATTGTTTGGAGGGCTGGGGAAGGGGAAGATAAATCTTGGGTTTGTGTGCATTTGGAGAGGGGTGGGGGTGGGGAAAGCATTCAATGTTTTGGTGGGGGGAGGGCGGACACAAAACACTGATTGGCAGGTAAGGGCTGGGAACGGGGGTAAGTGACTCTGAGCAGGGAGGAGGCTGCCAGGGTGATCAGAAAAAGTGGGGGTGCGATTGTGGGCTGCAAAGGAGAGGGAGTGATGGGGGTGGGGAGAGGGAGAGGGTGTTAAGCTGAGAGTCCAGCAGTGTGTTGTAGTGGTTAGAGACTCGGGGTTAAATTCCGACATTGACACCCCCAGGTGCTCTTGCTGCCTAACCCTACATCACAGGTTTGTTAGGATTAAAATGTGTGTGGGTGTGTACACATTGCATTCCTCATTCTCCTACCCCAGCTCCTTAGTGCAGGCATGGGGAATGTGTAGCCTTGCTTTGGGCTGCAGCACTCACCATCCCCAGCGAGGGTTAATGGGACCGTGACTGCTGGAGAGAGGGGTGCTGGGAGTCCTCCATCACAGCAGCCCAGGGGTCAGATGTCCCCCAGCCTTGCCTCAGTAGAAGGATGGAAGAAAGTAAGAAAAAGGCCTGGCGGGCTTAGCAACATGGTTCCTTCACTGCGAACAGAGGACCAAACACCACTTCATCCGCTGCTGTTTCTGGGGGTGTTGTGTGAACACCTAATGTTCATCAAGTGAGCACCTATGACATGCGGTCGTGACCACTGTGCATGGTGCATACATTATTGGAGAACTGGGATTGGCTGCTGCGTTTCCTTGAGAAAGATACACACCTGGTGGGAAATCCAAAAATACTGCAGTGCAATGCGGTCTGTGTTAGGACAACCTTCCCCAACTTGGTGACCTCCTGCGCTTGTGGGACTGCAGCTGCCATCTTCCCTGATCATTGACCATGCTGCCTGGTGCTGATGGGAGTTGTAGTCCTAAACATCTGGAGGGGCACCAGGTTGAGGACGGCCACCCTAGGAATAGTCTTTGTTTCCTTCCGGGTTGCAGTTCTGCTTCAAGGAGGGCCGTCTACTCTGCGGCAGTTGGGCAGAACAGCCAGTGCAGAATTGTGCTGTGCCTTGACACTCCCCTCCCATGGCTCCGCTCACCTATGGTGAACAAAACTGGATTCCAGGTGACCAGGCAGTGAAAGTTCCATAATTTAGAAGAGAGGGGGCTTAACCATGGGTATGCCACAAATGTCTAACATGAGCTATGTGTTAGGCTGGTAAGAGCAACTGTAGGCAGTAATATTTGTGAATCCGATTTGCAAGACTGGGTTGTTTCACAGAGAAACAAGGGCGGTTACATTAGCATCCTGGAATTTGCCTCCTGGGTGAACGCATTTGGGAGGGTAAAAGGTAGAGTCCCTAGCTGATTGTTGGGACTGTGTGAGGAGAGGGTTCATATAGAAAGGAGTGGTCCACTGAATGAACCCTGGGAATCCAAGCTCTCTTCATTTCATCTACCTAGTTTGTTGTTGTTGCTATTGTTAAACCATTGGGAGTTGGAAATCTTTGCTGATCTACTGCACATGCAGATCAGCCTTATTTAGGGCTGCCATCATACATCCAGGTTTTTCTGGACACATCTGGGAATCGGGCTGCAGAATGGCATCTGGGCCAGCCTTTCTCAACCTGTGGGTCCCCAGATGTTGTTGAACTACAGCTCCCATCACCCCTAACTAGCAAGGCCAGAGCTTAGGGATGATGGGAGTTGTAGTCCAACAACATCTGGGGACCCACAGGTTGAGAACCACTGATTCTGGGCAGATTTTTGCTGAAACGGCAACATGTCCAGAAAAACCCGGACATATGGCAAGTAGGGCGATTATTACAGTCATACCTTGGGTTACAGATGCTTCAGGTTGCGTTTTTTCGGGTTACAGACCCGCCAAAACCCGGAAGTAGCGGAACAGGTTACTTCCGGGTTTTGGGGGTCGTGCATGCGCAGAAACGCCAAATCGCAACCTGTGTGTGCGCAGACGTGCCGCTGCAGGTTGCAAACATGCATCCCGCATGGATCACGTTCGGAACCCAAACGTCCACTGTATTAGTATTTTTTAATGCTTAGTAAATCCAAGAAAAGCACCAAAACATTTTTTGGGTGAGGGAGATGTTCCCCCCAGAATACTCAACAACGTGTTTTAAAATGGACCTGTATAGATTGGTTGCTATTCTTCACCGCTCTATCCCTGATGTAATGTGTTGATTTGCTTGATATCACCCATGACTTCTTCCCAGAGAGCTTTCCTTCAGTAGAACACACACACTCTCTCTGTATGTATAGAGTTTCCTGGACCTTTCGCCCATCCATGCACAGGCTTTCAGCAATATTTGCTGCATCATGTGCATTCAGACATTATTGTGTCGAGGTGGGGGGACCACCAGGGGAAAGATGCACAGAGGCCGGCAGGATAACAGCTTCCTTGAGGAAAAGCGGCTTTTCTGAGTTTGGTGTTCGGGACGTTAGACTGGACCTGGAGAGACACCTGGGCTCAGATCATCGCTCAGTCACAAAATTCACTGAGTGACCTTTGGGCCAGTCCCTTTTGGTCTACTCAATCTACCCCAAGGCACAGTGAAGAGGATAAGAGTGGAGTGGGGAAGCACTGCATTAACTTCCCTGAGCCTTGAAGGAAGAGTAAGATTTTTTAAAAAAAGCTATAACATGAAATAATTCAGCGAAATACTAGGGTGGTTGCCATAGGTGACCAGGAATTACATGTAGGTGATCCATGGAACTTCATGCAAGTGAATAGTTGGGCTAGAGAAAGAGGGACAGGGTGCTTCTTGCTCCCGTGTCAGGCGTGTGTGTGTGTATTTGCAGATTTGTCATTTTTGTGGTGATTTGTAAGGCTGATGGTGTGTATATACATACAGTGGACGCTCGGGTTGCGAACGTGATCCATGTGGGATGCACATTAGCAACCTGCAGCGGCGCGTTTGCGCATGCGCAGGTTGCAATTTGGTGCTTCTGCGCATGCGTGACCACCAAAACCTGAATGTAACCTGACCCGGTATTTCCAGGTTTCAGCTGGTCCTTAACCCGAAAAAACGCAACCTGAAACGTCTGTAACCCGAGGTATGACTGTACTGACTTTCAGGCTCAAAAATCACACTGTTAGCCACTCTTAGACCCCAGAGTGTTGGCAGATTTGTGCAGATGTTGCTCAGGCTCCCATCACCCTTGACCACTGGTCACGTTGGCTGAGGCTGCTGGGATTTGAGACTCCCACCATTACCCGGAGGGACCCAAGTTAGCCACCTCTGTGCTTCCTCAGCTCTTGGCAGCGGTGGAAGGTGAACAGACAGGCAGGCATCTCTTAGACGCTGTCAACAGTGGTGAGGCCTAGCCCTGTTGGTGAGATATAAGAGAAATCGTAATAGGGGTTGCTACCCCAGATTCTTCTTCCCCTTCCCCTTCCCCCTCTTAAACTCCCGGAATTGATTGGGGGCATTTACCGGGGTTTAAATAAGGAGAGAGAAAGCTCCTAAGCAGGGGTGGGCTGTGTTGTGAACAGAGAGAAGCATGACTTGACGGGAGATGCCAGAGTTATCTCATGTGATTGTTGGTGATGCCAGGAGAACCATTGGAAGCTGCTTATGTAGTGTCAGGGGTGGGGACGCCTCAGGCCTTGGTGGGGAGGGAAAATGCCTCCTTCCAGCCCTCTTCGGGACTCTCTCCAGGACGCTACCCTTCTCACGAGCCCTACTTTGCACCCTCCGTGGGTGTTCTTACCTGGCTGGAATGGGTCCTTGGGATCCAGCAATGCCTGGAATGTCACATAGAGAGTGGAATGCGTCTGAGAAGCATATCTGCTCCACACTGACTGGCAACAGCTCTCTCGGGTTTTAGGCAGGCGTTCTCTCCCCTTAAAAGTATCTGGGGAGGCCAGGGATTGAGCTTGGGATCGTTTGCATGGAGAATATGTGCTCTGCCACTGACCTGTCACCTTTTCCCCGGCTGTCCCTTTCCCAGAAAAGGCCATGAAAGCAAGGAGAGGGACTGCGCTTATGAGATCGAGGAGGCAGTAAAGGGAGGTGGGGATGAAGAGTCTTGCGAGTTCTAGCGCTCAGCGTATTGGGGAGGGGTTGGCCAGATTGGGGGGGGCCTCCGGGCAAAATCTTACCTGATGGACCCCTTTATAGGCCCAGACGAACGTACCTGGCTGTGGCACTCTAGACAGCGCCAGAGCCATAACTAGGTGATCTTGCGCCCCTGGCGCCCCCCCAGCCACAGACAAATTAGCTCTTCTTTCCGCCTCTCCTCCAACCCCCGTCCCTACACCCATTCAATTTAGCCTCTATTTAAAAATATTTCTTATGAGGCAATAATCAATATTTATATTTATGGACATATTTTTAGCCATTTTTTGGGGGGGGCCATCACTTGCCTCCCTGGCGGGGGCCCACCTCACCACCCCCTAGCTACGGCCCTGGACAGCACCAGGCAGCTTCGAGCTGCAGTCCAAGGGCATCTAGAGGGTCAATCCTGATGCAGGGCAGACAGAGAACAATCCCTGTGGTTTGCCCCCAACATCTGGTCTCTGAGTTTCCATGGCTAGTCAAGATGACCTTGACATCAATGTCAGCTCTGCATCAGCGGTCTTCCCAGAAGTGCGTGCCAGTCACATAAACCCAATTTTATTGAGACCTCCCGTAAGTGCCATTCTCTCTTCTGTACTCAAGTTCCCACATCTTATCCACAAAGATTGCTTCTCCTCCCGCCCCCCAACCCGGCCACCGCCCCAAACTCAGCTGCTATCCCCACAGGAGGTGAGAATAATTAGAACCCTGTTATGTACCAGGCAGTAATAAAACGAAGGGCTCCATCTATTTTCTGTCTGTTCTAGTCATCCTTTTTTATTATTATTTAAAAAACCACCCTTGCGTCTAGTGTGCCCTACATGCTTTCAGCTGAGTATATTGGGGATGGGAAGAAGTGGAAAGGCAGGGTCCCCCAGGGGTAGGGGTGGGTGACGGAATAGAGGCCCAGGTGCCATGATGTCTCAGTGAAGCTCAAATGACTCATAGAATCACAGAATTGTAGAGTTGGAAGAGGGACCCCAGGGGTCATCTAGTCCAACCCCTGCAATGCAGGACAGCTTCTCCAGGATGGTGGCTGCCAAACGTTTTGAACTCTCAGCTCCCAACAGCCCTTGCAGGCGTGATGGGAGTTATGGTCCAGCAACATCTAGAGGGATGCAAATTTCGGGACAGGTGAAGAGCCTACTGGATTAGGCGGGTGGTCCAGCATCCTGCTCAGGTGGGGAAATTAGAATTAAAAAGAACTCCTGCCTTTCCTGCTACCCATTGTATCAACACTGCAACACCTACACTGAATTCCTGGATATCATAATAGTTGGAGTTTTGGGGCGGCAGGGGGATGGTTAGCAGCAAATCACTTCTCCAGTGGCGAAGAACCAAAATAAAAGGTTTTTGAATGTACCAAGAAGTTTTGTATTCGGGCAATGGATGTGTCACTCCTCTTTATTGTCTAGATCAGCCTTTCACAACCTGTGGGTCCCCAGATGTTGTTGAACTACAACTCCCATCACCCCTAGCTAGCAAGGCCAGAGCTCGGGGATGATGGAAGTTGTAGTCCAACAACATCTGGGGACCCACAGGTTGAGAACCGCTGGGCTAGATCGTTTAATAAAATGTCAGTCATTGGTGTGGCTTTGTTCATTGGCTAGAAACACTGAAAGGCATGAGCTAGGCTAGTTTCTCCCCAAACAAGTGGAGAAAATATCTCCTACCCATTTTGCCACAGGTCTTTGGCTTTCTCTACAAGCAGCTTACAATAGCTGAGTGCCTGGTGATTATGACTCACCCAGGAGGAAGGGGATTTAACTGTTGCCCTTGCCCTGCTCTGCTGGTGCCCCCTCTGTGGTGCAATGGGTCAATGTGTTTGGCTGTTAACCAGAAGGTTGATGGTTTGAGCCCACCATGGGATGGTTGTGGGCAGAATTCCTGGATTGCAGGGATTCATACTAGATGACCCTCGGGTCCCTTCCAACCCCATAATTCTATCATTCAAAGAGCATCTTGGGATCTGAGAGCAAGGAAGGCAAGGCCTGAGTACCCATCTGTCCCTTGAGAATCTCCTTGGTTGTCCATCTGAGCTGCATTCCTGGGCTGCCAGAAAGGACCTTCTCCATGGTAGAGTCTGGGCTGGGACTAGCTACCATGGTGGCTTCCAGGCATTGCAGAATCCAACTCCCATCTGCCCTGCCAGGGATGATGGGCGCTGTAGTCCACAATATCTGGAAGGTACCTCATTGGCTACCCTTCACCCAGGGTTTAGAGCAGAGTTTCCCAAACTTGGGTCCCCAGCTGTTTTGGGACAACAGTTCCTTGACCACTGGTCCTGCTAGCATGGATCCTGCAAGCTTAGCCCTCCAGATGTCGTTGGTTTTCAACTCCATTGTCCTTCACCAATGATGGAAGTTGGTGTCTGAAGGGCGCCCTGTTGGCTAGTCCTGGCCTGGACTCTGCCCTCTCTGGCATCCCAGCAAGATCCTGGCAGTCATGATCATCCCTGTGGTTGGGGATGATGGGATCTGGAGGGTCGCAGGTTCCCTACTACTGTTTTCGCACTCCCTTCCTAGGAAGGCCCACCACACACTTCCATCTCGAGTCTGCGGCTATGTAGACCCGTTTCGTTTCACTCGTTGACTTTCCAAATTCCAGTGAGCGTTGGCCATGCTGATGGGGCCTGATGGGAGGTGGAGTCTAGGAAAAACAACACCATGGTCTAGGAGTCCCTGGCCCCTAAGCACCTCCCTGGACCACATCCATGGTATACCTATAACACAACCCTGAACTCTAACCCTTAAGAAGGATATGGAGGTGGCATCCTCTGAAAAGCTTTTGAGCTCTTTAACCCAGTCTTTTGTCTCTGCGTTGGGCACCTTTCCTTGGCGTCTCGATGCCATTCCTGCTCTGCGCCAACGTCCTGCCGAGATACGAGCCTTATCTCCCTCTGCCAGCGCGAAGAATTAAGATAGCCAAATGCTTTGCAGCGCCTCCGTAGCTGCAAGGCCGGGCGGTGTGTGCCTTCCTTTATCCTGTCTCCGTCAAAGCAAAAAGAGGATATTAACACCGAACCCTCGTGGCAGACATCAGCGCAGGGATCTCTGGCTTTCAGGAATGCGCGGGCTGAATATCAAGCTTCCTTGTCACCGATAGCGAGCAGGAAGTGAGGTTGTGTTGCTGCCCACGCCAGAGAACAGGGCTGGGTTTCTAGGCTCCGCACTGTGAGATATTTGTATTGGGCAAAGCAGGGGCTGTTAAATCAGTGGGAGAAGAGCTTGGCAGAGGGCGTTTTAGGGGCATTCTGTTGCCCAGGCAGTGTTATAATTCTGCATGGAGGGCAGTGGAATTCTGGAGCGTCTTGTGCAAATGAAAGTTGGTCTCGTCTGCACAGAATTCCTCTTATTTTATGCAATTCTGTTCCTTTTATTTTATGCAATTCTATTCTGCAATTGGGAATGAATGAATGAATCTTTATTTGCATCAGCCACCAGCCATAGCAATAATCAAAATGTGGTGTACAGAGGATAAAGGTAAAAAGTCAATTACAGTGGTACCTTGGGTTACATACGTTTCAGGTTACATACGCTTCAGGTTACAGACTCCGCTAACCCAGAAATAGTACCTCGGGTTAAGAACTTTGCTTCAGGATGAGAACAGAAATCATGCTCCAGCGGCGCGGCAGCAGCAGGAGGCCCCATTAGCTAAAGTGGTGCTTCAGGTTAAGAACAGTTTCAGGTTAAGAACGGACCTCCGGAACGAATTAAGTACTTAACCCAAGGTACCACTGTATATAAAATGCATTTTGGGGGTTTGGGGCAATAGTGAAATAATGGGTCTTATTTTAATTGCCCTGGCTAAAAACCTTGCAACCTTTGCTGCTCATCTTTATCTGCCAAGGCAAAGGACACTATAACAGTGGTTGGGCAACCCGGAGTGGACTATAATAGAGGGGTGATATCCTCACTCCTCAAATCTTTATAAAGAGTGCAAGCCACAAGGACATGAACCACTGATTAAGTACTGCCATCTCCCCAGGGACATAACCGTGGAATTTTTTGGAATCATCCCCCATGTACAGCCAAAGGCGTTATATTCAGTCTTGCAGGAGTAAAAGCACAATTCTTGCTCCTACATTTTCCTCTGGTCCCATTTGCGCTGGACATTTAAAGCAGCATCATGCAACTTTAAACAGTCACAACTTTCTCCAAAGAATCATAAGGAGGTGTCATGTATTCCCACAACCACAGAGCTAAGATTTTCAGAGTTCCCCACGAAGAGGGGTTGATTTTTCAATTACTTTGGGATGGGTAGCTCTGTGGGGTCTCCTAAAAACACTCTGAATAAACTATGCTCCCCATATTTCTTTGGGGAAAGCCATGACTGTTCAAAGTACTATCATAGTGCTATAAAGGTATGGGATGAATGCGGACTACCGTTCTTCTGAATGAGCTTTTGGAAGGGAGCAAGACCAAGAGCTTAGAGCTTTGCAGGCTTAGATTCTATTTCAGCTGACAGTTCTTTTTCTTCTCTCTCTCTCTCTCTCCCACCTCCCTTTGTGTTACAGCCACGAGAAAGGTCAAGAAGGTGAAGAGGGAGTCGAGCTGCAGGAAGGTGAGGAGGGGTCCTGGGCTGGCCCAGAAAATGCCCAGCCAACCTGCGTGAGCAAGTTGTAGCCCCCGCTCGGGGAGGGATTTCTACCGCCAGGGCACCACCCGATAAGTAAGGCGTACGAAATGTCTGTCTGTGAACAAAGCTGAATCTCTGGCCTCCTCCTGTCTGGATCCCACGGGGGCAGTGTGTTGGCAGCTGGAACCCCAAATCTCCCCGACGCCCTGCAGACCCACACAGCCCTAGAGCCCCTCTAGCATCTTGTCCTACACTCAGACGCATCATGCACAAGATGTGTGGCGAGGGAAAGAGGAGGGGAGCAAACCCTTTCTTGCCATTCGTACGTCAGGGTTCGTCCTAGTGCATTTGCACTTCACAGAGTTTTGTGAGCAAGAAATAAAGGTCCCTGCCCCAGAGAGGTTTCAGTCGACCACCACCTTGCTGTTGTTATTCCCTCCTCCTTTTCCTTCAAGATGTTCAGGGAAGCATACACAGAGATTCCTCTCTCTCTCTCTCTCTCTCTTGCACAGACAAACACACTTTTGCCATCACAACAACCCTGTGAGGTAGGTTCAGCTGAGAGGGTGGGTGGTCTGAGGTCACTTCATAGAAGTTATATGAGCCCAGCCTGAACATACTCTTTGCTCCTTCATATTCTCCACAGTTTAGACTCCTCGGCCTTTGGTGGATATTTAATGTTATCAAAATAGCTGTCCTTCCCACAAGGTAGTGACTGTGTGCTAAGTAGCAGCCTGCACTAAGGCACATTTTGTGGACAGGATGTAGGTTTCTAGAATGACGTAAATGAAAGGGAGGTTGAAACTAGTTCAGGGTTTTAAATTCTGGAGTGGCAGGTTGTATAAATAAACCCACTACATGACTGAGATCAAGAGTGTGTTGTGTTGTGTGGCCTGGACTGTTGCACCCCCCCCTCCCAAATCTGATGGGTTCCCCTGCGAGAGGACACCCCAGTAACCAAGCAGAGCCGCAGTCGCCAGAGTGACACCTCCACCGAGTTTGGTTCAAAAAAGGCATTTCATTATAGGCAAGAGAATAGGCTGTGGCATGAGGGTTGATGCCCACAACAGCTGATGTTATTAATATCATTATTATCAGGAAGTCTGGGATAGCTCAGTCAGTAGAGCATAAGACTCTTAATCTCAAGGTTGGGAGTTTGAGCCCCACATTGGGGAAAAAGATTCATGGGTTGGACTAAATGACCCTTGTGGTCCCATCCAAAACTATGATTGATTTGTTTCTTACCACAAAAATGTCTCGAAGCGATGAGTACAAAATCGTACACTATAGAAGATTTAAACTGCACCAGAAAAATAAAAAGAACCTTAACTGAACGAACTGAAAGTGCTTATCTCTCAATAGCATAAAAAGGACCCACCCTACTAAATGATGAGCACTGATGCAGGCTGGGATATAATCATACCCTGTGACCCCAATTATGCTTGGGTAAACAGGAACACCTTTGGCACTTAAAGGTTAATCCTGATGTCGCCAGGGGGATGGCATTCCGCAGTTGGGGAGCCACCACTGAGAAGGCCCATTCCAGGTCACAAATGTGCCTGTTAGCCCCCAAATGGCTGGCAAACCCCTGCAGCAGCAACGACAACACCTGTGTCAATGAGGCTGGTGTGTCGCTAGGGAGTGGCCCAAAGCTGGCAGTAATCAATTTCCTTTCTCTCTTTCCCAGGAGACGGCACAAATGCGGATGAGCAGACTGCAGTGGCCATCGCCAGCGTCCAGCAAGCAGCCTTCACAGACCATAATATCCAGTACCAGTTCCGCACAGAGAACAATGGAGGACAGGTAGCAGAACCCTCGTCAGGGAGCTTGGCTTTTAACTGCGTGGGTACGGCGGAAGGGGTAAGAGCTTCAGGCGCAAGGGCATTGGCCCCTGGGCGGCTTCCCGCTGCCGACTGGCCAGTCGTCACATTCCGAGGAGTCACACGGTGTGGCGCTCGTGGGACCGCACCATTTCATTATCGGGGGGGGGGTTGTGCGTGTCATTGCATGATTGAATATATTCCCCAAATGTCTAGTCGCAGCATTGCCCACATTATTGGAGTGGGGTGGGGGGGTCCCTATAAAACCCGCAAGCTCCAACCGTTTATTCTCAACCCCTCCGCTTCAGTTTAGCCAAATCACAGACTCGTAAAATTGCAGAGTTTGGAGGAACCCCGACAGTCCAACCCCCTGCAATGCAGGAATCTCAACTAAAGCATCCATGACAGACAGACACCCCTTGCCTCTCTATCGGGAGGACCAGAAGGACATGATCACTTCCTCCCAAGGTTCCCAGTACTTCCAAATTCGCCAGTCAGTTCCTCCCTGTTGGTGAGGACCAGGCCCAAGACAGATGATCCCCTTGTTGCCTCTCACATTTTGGGAAATGAAAGTGTCTCAGTTATATGCCTCAGTAACATTCCAAGAAGAACCATTACGAAAGATGGGGGACAAACCCGCATCACAAAAGGTGGGGACACCCCCCCCACCCCTGGTAGCTCTCAAGCAATGGTTCCACTTTCCCTGACATAATAACTTTCTGTATGCAGAATTCTGTGCTTGCTTTCACGTGAGGAAATGGTTGGTCTTCTTCATTTATTATCACCCAGGAGAATCCCTGAAGGGCTTGTAGCAGTGTGTTTCTTCTCTTGAGTAAATCTCCTCTGGCTTCCGGAGATTTTAGCAGATGTTGCCATAACCTTAAGAACTAGAAAATTGTATTTATGTGTTGTTGTTTTTTGCTGTCGTTTAGTTTGGCCAGTGTCCAGATTATGAGTCCCAACAGCGCAAGGATTTCCACTGGAACAGCAGAACTTCCACCCCACCTCACAGGCCACACCCTCCTCAAGTCTACTCGGGAGGGCTGGGGGAAACCCAGAACAGGCTTAGGGGGCAAGGTGGTGGAAGCAGGGAGGATGTACTGTTGCACAAGTGTAAATCCTTGCGCTGGCACGATTTGTTAGTTGGATATCGACCACTGAAATACTCTAGGATGCTATATTCGGTACCGTTCTCCATTTTACTGTTTCTCCAGCTGAGGACCCTCGTTGCACACCAGGAATGGTCGCAATACAGACATGCTTTGATTTGACTTCTCTGTGGGACTGTCTTCCCCCTTGTCGAATTCTGCCAAAAGACTGACTTCTTATTTTGCTTCCTCGCTGCCAGGTGACATATAGAGTCGTTCAGGTGACGGACAGTCAGCTGGATGGACAGACAGATGCGACGGGGGCGGTCAGCGTGGTCTCGACGGCAGCTTTCACCAGTGGCCAACAAGCTGTTGCTCAGGTGAGAGAGAAACTTTATTGGGGCCTAAAGGCGGCACCAGATGCCTTGCTTTTTAGTGATGTGTACTCCTTCCATCCAGTTCAGTCCATCAATCAAGTTGTTGCTCCAGTCAGCATACTTCACAATAAGAGCTGTGTGTGTCAGATAGCTCATTAACAAAGGACACAGATGATCTCTTATTAACAGATAGAAGTGCTTTATTACATTGCTGTTCTTCTGAAAACAGTGGGTTCCTCACCTGCTGGCTGATAACCTCTGTCCTTGTGGCTGCATGCCTCCATTTTGGCTACATAAGGATAACTGATGTCTGTTGAGGTCCGCATTTCTTTGGGGGGGATTTGTTGAAGGTTGCGTTTGAACGGGAGGGGGGTGGACCAAAGTGAGCAAGTCTTTCCCCCTTTTTCTCCCTGTGCAGTGGGTTCCTGGGGGAGGAATACAGTTGGTACCTCAGGTTACAGACGCTTCAGGTCGCAGACTCCACTAACCCAGAAATAGTACCTCGGGTTAAAAACTTTGCTTCAGGATGAGAACAGAAATTGCGTGGTGGCGGCACAGCAGCAGCGGGAGGCCCCATTAGCTAAAGTGGTACCTCAGGTTAAGAACAGTTTCAGGTTAAGAACGGACCTCCAGAACAAATTAAGTTCTTAACCTGAGGTACCACTGTAGATCTCTCCTCTCCGGAGAGCTGAACTGATCTCTCGCATGATACTTCTCCTTCTCACCCCCCCCCCCAAAAAATCTTCCTTCTGCTTCTCCAATGTTTCCATCTCCCTCCTCCTCAGCCCCCTGACTCTGTATGTCCTGTGTTTAGCTTTCCTGGGTGAAGATTTAACATGACAGCCCTTATCACTTGCCTCAAATAATCAAAATTCCTTTTAACTTATCCAGGACTGGCCTACTTTTTATTATTTTGGAAGGATTTCCCACTCAATGACCACAAGAGGGCAGTCCGAACCTGGAGCATCCCAGTCAATCCTCGTTCTGTGGCTTTCTGACTTTCTCAGATCGCACTCTGGTGTTGAGATGTTTTGGTTGACGCGCCAGCTGTGTCCCTAGAGGACTCTGCACTCTCTCCCATTTGCATTAGGATATAGTTCAGCAACTGGTGGCAGGACGCAGCTACTGGTCTCTCCCCAGTGCCCCAAACCAAAAAACCTTTCCTGCACACCTGTGTTTTTATACGGAAATCTGTAGACACCTGCCTTGGCCCATTATCCCAAGGAATGTACTCAGTGGCTCATTAGCACTTTAAAACAGTGCAACTAGAAATTGTTAGCAAGGCTTAGTGGTAGAACATCTGCTTTGCTTTCACCCCCCCCAAAAAAGTACACCTTAATTTTAAAACCATGTGCATCAGGTCTAATAAATCTAGGCTGAAAAGAAAAGAGCTATCTATTATTCCTCACTTGCAAGTTTTATGAAAGGTTAAATAATAGAATAACACGAATAGCAATCATTAAGAGTGCAGCTGTTGACTAAGTGATGATTTTGTAAAATGGAATGCAATTAGAAGTAAAGAAGAATATGAATCGCAGTAATATAAGATGATAAGGAAGTATCAGGAATGGCGTGTGGAAAACCACTTAAACGAATTTGTGATACTTTGGAAACAATTGGTATAATTGGGTTAAAATTGGGAAATCAGTAAAAATAATTGGAAAGAGAAGGAAAGGAAAGGAAAGGGAACGGAAGGAAGGACGAACGAACCACAGTCAAAGAGTGCTGGTTTTGACCTAAGAAGCCTTAAATGGCTCAGAACCGCAATACCTCAAGGACCGCCTCTCTCCATATGAACTGACCCAGACCCTGAGATCATCTTCTGAGGCCCTCCTTCGTGTGCCTCCTCCATGTGAGGTCCAGAAGGTGGCAATACAAGAATGGGCCTTTTCTGTGGTGGCTCCCTGTTTGTGGAATGCTCTCCCCAGGGACGTTCACCTGGTGCCTTCCTTATACACCTGTAGGCACCAGGTGAAACCGTTCCTCTGTAACCAGGCCTTTGCCTGATTGACATCCAAGGCCCTGTTAAATGTGTTGCGAGAGGGGGGTGGTGTTTGTTCTTGCTTTTATTACCTGTGTGGCTGGTGTGTTTTTTCTGCGGCCTACCCCGAGATCTTCGGATGAATGGTTTTAGCTTTCTTCTGTCTCTTCTTTCCAGGCTGTGATCCAGAACCCCTTCAGCAATGGCGGGAGCCCGGCCACGGATGCCGTCAGCGGCGAGGCCCGGTTTGCGTACTTCCCTGCCTCCACGGTGGGGGACGCCACAGCGGTGTCGGTGCAGACGACAGATCAGTCGCTGACGCAGGCCGGAGGTAGGGAAGTGAGAAGGCCCAAGCCATCTCTCCCCTCTTCTTTCCAGAGCAGGATCCTGAAGTCTGGTCCACAAGGGGCAATTTGCACAGGGGCCATCTCCACAGACCCAGGGCCCATCCACACTATCCATTTAAAGCAGGATTGTACCATTTTTAACAGCCGTGGCTTCCCACAAAGACTCTGGTTTGTGAACGGTGCTGAGAAGGTTTTAGGAGGACCCCTATTCCCCCCCCAGAGCTAGAATTCCCAGCGTTTCACATTCCAGGGAATGTAGCTCTGAGGAGAATAGGGGGTCGCCCTACAACTCCCAACACCTTTTGAGGTGGTCGTACAAGGCTCTCCCTCTCCTCACTTTATCCTTGCCATGACTATATTTGAAGCCATCTTCAAATATCTCAAGGGCTGTCACATGGGAGATGGAGCAAGTTTGTTTTCTGCTGCTCTGGAGGAGGGCAGGGCCCGAACCAATGGCTTCATGTTACAAGAAGGGCAATTCCGACTAAACACAAGAAGAGCTGTTCGACAGTGGGGAGATTTTAAACAGAGGTTGGATGGTCCTTTGTCATGGATGCTTTAGTTGAGATTCCTATCTACAACATAACATAACATAACATAACATAGCATAGCATAGCATAGCATAGCATAACATAACATAACATAACATAACATAACATAACATAACATAACATAACATAACATAACATAATCTACATGGTGCCTAGGGAACAACTTGCACCTTAATATCAGCAAGACAAAGGAGATGGTGTTGGACTTTAGGAGGAAGAGAGGAGAACTAGCCCCGCTGTACATCAGGGAGAGCTGTGTGGAGAGAGTCTCTTCCTTCAAATTCCTAGGAATTTATCTCAGTGAAGACCTTACTTGGAAAATAAATACAGCCCAGGTGGTCAAGAAAGCCCAAAAGAGACTCCATCTCCTCAGAATATTGCGAAGGAACGATGTCAATCAACATTTAATGATCTCCTTCCACTGGTCAACAATAGAAAGTGTCCTTTCATACTGCATCACGGTGTGGTACGCTGGTTTGACATCGACTGATAGGAAGTGCCTACAGAGAGTGGTGAATACAGCACAAGATATTATGGGCTGTCCCATGAATCCTCTGGATGAAATAGCAGAAGAAGGTTGCCTCAGGAGAGTGAGGAAAATTCTCAGGGTTGATTCACACCCTGGCCAGCACTTTTTTGATCTCCTGCCCTTGGGCAGAAGATATAGAAGCCTGATTAGTCGCACCAGCAGGGTAAAGAACAGCTTCTATCCGGGGGCTGTTAGGCTGCTGAATGAAAAGATAACAACAGGGCAACTGACTTTTGGGTTTGGTGGGTGTGCGTCAGTAAACAAGGGGAATTAAGACTAAGAGAGCTGAGTGGGGGGTGCTCGTGTAATCTCACTGTATACAAGTTGTACAAGTGACAATACAGTATTCCAATTTGAATTCCTGCATTGCAGGGGGTTGGAATAAAGGACCCTCGGGGTCCCGTCCAACTCTCCGAATCCTTGACCCCGTGAGGAAGGTTAGGCCGAGAAAATGTGACTGGCCTAAGTGAGCTTCATGGCTGAGTGGGGATTCGAATCCAGATCTCCCCGGCCCTAGTCCAACACTGAACCACTACATTGAGCTCAAGGCAGCATATACTGGCTGCTCGTCCCCTGCTCCTGTTTTCTCCTCACAACAGCCATGTAAGGTAGGTCAGGGGAGTGAGTGGCCCAAAGGCATCCAGCGCGGTTCATGTATATGTGAGTGGAGAGTTGATCCTGGCTCATCCCAGTCCTAAAATAAAAGGGAGGCAAGGGTTTCTCCGCAGCCAGCTGGCTCTCCCTTCCTCTTGCTGTTCCTTTCAAAATAGCAAGCTTAATTTCTCTTCTGTGTTGCTCCCCGTAGGCCAATTCTACGTGATGATGACCCCGCAGGACGTGCTGCAGACAGGGACGCAACGTACCATCGCCCCCCGAACCCACCCCTATTCCCCGTATGTATGGCTCCAGGAAGGGAACAAAGAGGGAGGGTTGACGAGTCAGGAGCACAGCTGTCTAGCTCCCTGACCCCCAATGATGGCTGTTCCCAAAGGGCCAAGGAAGCGGGGAGCCAGGGAGCCAAACTAAGAGAATTGGAAGCTGTGTTACGCTGAGTCAGTCCATCCAGCACAGTACTGCCTGCACTGGGCAGGCAGTGCTTCTCAAACTGTAGTCCATCTGTTCCTGGACTACAACTCCCATCATTCCCAGCGAGCAGGGGATGATGGGAGTTGTAGTCCAGGAACAGATGGACTATAGTTTGAGAAGCACTGCTGTCGGGTTTGGGGCAAGAGTCTCTCCCAGTCTTAACTGGAGATTCTAAGGACTGAAGCTGGGACTTTGGGATGCAGCTCTACTTAACCGACCCCAGAAAGAATGTTTGCACCCCTTTTAAAGGCAGGGGGCGGTGCATTGTTCCCACGGCCCACGCTCTGCCAATGGAAAGGGAGATTTGGAGCATTTTCCTTGCCCCTTTCATATTCGCATCCTGGCACTGCACCGCTGCGTCCGAGACGTGAGCAGGGTCTGTGCCCCCTTCCCTGTCCCCCTCCTGATTTCCCCCACCCCCATGCCTTTGCTTTGAAAACCTAGGAAAATGGACGGGACGCGGACGCCGCGGGACGAGAGGAGACGAGCCCAGCACAACGAAGGTGCGCAGAACAGCCAAACAGCCTGAACCATCCCTTTAAAAAAATAAAAATCAAATAGCACATTCAGATCGTTCTGGGATTTCTTGCCCTCTGGGGCCGCAGAACCTGAGGAGAGGGTTTTTACGTGCTTGCAGGGACAGCCACACTGCCGGCAGCCTCCCCCGGAAAGTTTAAAGCTTAATTTTTTGTAGCAGGGCGCTTTTAAGGGGGGGAAGCTCCCTGTTTTTCTTACTTCCCATCAAAGCTGTGCCTCTCCTCGCCCACGCTTCCTTAATTACCAGGGCCTGATGCTCTCCACAAGCACCCACTAATAACTGTGGTGGATTTGAGTTAGCTCAGTTCTTCATGGAGGTGCCATTCCCACCCAAACACCCCAACCAAGCTGGTACCCTCCATAGGCTTTGGTCTACAACTTTTACCAGCCCCTACTAATATGGCCGAGGGCCAGGAATGATGGACACAGTAGACCAGCATCCTCTCCAACTCAGAGGAGATTGCTCAGGTGTTCCACCTGGCGGCGGGGAACCTTGTAGCCTGCAGCCCAGCTGTGGCTTGTAGCTTAATAATTATAATAATTTTGGATGTGTTGTAAGGTTGGATTTCAGCTGGCCTGAGGTGTACTTCCAAAGCTCTCTTCTCCTTTGAATGAGCAGATTGGGTCGGGTGGTTTGCTGTGGCCCCTGATTTATTTTTAATTGGGGGGGGGAGGGGGTGGCAATGATCCCCAAAAGGTACAGTGGTACCTTGGTTCTCAAACTGAATCCATTCCAGTAGTCTGTTCCAAAACCAAAGCGTTCCAAAACCAAGGCGCACTTTCCCATAGAAAGTAATGCAAAACGGGTTAATCCGTTCCAGACTTTTTAAAAAAACAATCCCTAAAACAGCAATTTAATATGAATTTTACTATCTAACGAGACCATTGATCCATAAAATGAAAGCCATAAACAACGTACTGCAGTCACACAATCAAGCAATCAGTAGCTGAACTGGGTTCCACACAGTCACCAAAAAAAGCAAAATAAATAGCGAAAACAGACAGATCTCAGCGTAACACTCAAAACAGAAGCATGGCACTCAAAACGGAGCACATTCGGCTTCCAAAGAAAGTTTGCAAACCAGAACACTTCCGGGTTTGCAGTGTTTGGGTGCCAAGTGGTTTGAGAACCAAGGCGTTTGAGAACCAAGGTACCACTGTTTCTTTTATTAGAAAAAGTTCCCTTGTCTAACCAGTTCCCTGTTTTCTCTTTGCCTCCCCCTCTCTAGTTGAACGGAGGAGGCGGGACAAAATCAACAACTGGATTGTCCAGCTGTCGAAAATCATTCCAGACTGCAATACAGACAACAGCAAGACGGGGGCGGTGAGGGCAACTTCTGGGCAGGACATGAATGCCGGGAGGGTTGTTGGTTTGGGAGGAGTTGCTGGCTACTGCTGCAGGTGGCAGGCTGATTCTTCTTGGGACAGTTTATATTGGGAGAGGCTGTTTGAGGGGGTGTAATGCCCTCTGTCCCCCCCCCCCCCCCGGCTGTCAGATTCTATTGCAGCGGGCAATTTTACCTGTTCTGATCATGGCATGGCATTTAGGCAATGTGTTCTGTGTGTCCCCACAGAGTAAAGGAGGCATTCTGTCTAAAGCCTGCGACTACATCCGTGAACTGCGCCAGACGAACCAGCACATGCAAGAGACTTTCAAAGAAGCTGAGCGGCTGCAGATGGACAACGACTTGTTACGGCAACAGGTACCTGAGCACTCCAAACCTGCCCTCCCCAGTAACAAAGACCCATTGCTGAGATGGCCTAGCCTACTCACAGGGCTGTTGTGATGATAAAATGGGGAACGCGATGCGCACCACCTTGACATGACCTCCTTGGAGGGGGAAAGTGGTATACAGTGGTTCTCGAACTTAATCTGTTCCGAAGGTCCGTTCGAAACCAAAGCGTTCCAAAACCAAGGTGCGCTGTCCCATAGAAAGTCATGCAAAATAGATTAATCCGTTCCAGACTTTTAAAGACAACCCCTGAAACAGCAGTTTAACATGAATTTTGCTATCTAACGAGACCATTGATTCATAAATTGAAAGCAATAAACAATGTACTGCAGTCACACAACCAGTCAATCAGTAGCTGAACTGGGTTCCACAGTCACAAAAACAAAACAAAAAGTGCAGCAAAAATGCAAAATAAATAGCAGAAACAGACAGACCTCAGCGTAACACTCAAAACAGAAGTGTGGCACTCAAAATGGAAACGTAATACTCAAAACGAAGCACGTTCGGCTTACGAAGTAAGTTCGCAAACTGGGACACTTACTTCCAGGTTTGCAGTGTTTGGGTTCCAAGTTGTTTGAGTACCAAGGCATTTGAGAACCAAGGTACCACTGTGTAAACAATTTTTTAAAAAAACTAATTACCTCTCTTATCTCCCCCCCCCCCCCCGCCCCCACAGATCGAGGAGCTGAAGAACGAAAACGCCCTTCTCAGAGCACAGTTGCAGCAACACGGGATCGAGATTGTGGGAGATGCCCCTGGGCAGTAGCCCCCCCCCCAGCTGCCCACTTTGCCACTGCCTCTTTACACAGGATCTCAGCCTCCAGTTCTACTCATCCTTTTGTACAGAGAACCCCCTCTGCTCTGAACAAACGTTGCCTGCCTTCCCCTCGCATTGGGGGTAAACCGAGGGGAGCGGCAAAAAATCCGGGGAGTGGGGGTGGAAGAGTCTGATCAAGGGTCTCGTCAGCCCAGCCACACCAGCCTTCTCCCTCCAATCTCACTTCCTGTTGTCTTCCCCTCCTGACTTCCTTCCTCTCCTTAGGATACGTTAAGATTAAACAGACAAAAGATGCATTTTTTTATAGTAGATTTTTAACACAGGTTAGCCAGTTTCCACTTGCCTCCCCTTTTCCCCACTGGATCTGTGGGGTGGGGACATTCCCCCCTCCTCTGAGATGGGCTGTTTCAAAAGCTATCGGATTCTGTCTTCTTTCTTCTGACCTTCTTGCCGGTTCGAAGCCTCCCTGAGGGCGAACCCATCATGTTGATTTGGGCCCATGGGGGAAAAAAAGGAGTAGGGGTTTGGGTTTCTCAGGTTTGGCTGCTAGCGCAAGAGTGGGTGAGGTTGACACCCCCCCCCCCGCGGTTTGGACACGATCCGCAGGTTAAGTAGACACCCCACCCCTGCCTTTGAGGTGCCCTGAAATGAATGCTCTTCAGGTGAAACTCAGTAGCAGGTTAGTTGGAATTGGACTTGCAGTCAGGCCAACGGCTTATTTTATGGAGGGAGCCTTGTGCCATGAACCGGGGGGAGGTTGCAGTTCAGTTTTGCCTCTCCGGCCATGTCCACTAACTCTACCCCTCTGTTTTCCCACCACTCTAAAACTTGTAAAATAATAATGATTAAGGCACAACAGAGTTCAGTCCTAAATCTTACTACTGTCTCCCTTCCCTCCCTCCACCCCTTTATTTCCTTCCTTTCCTTCTTTCTCTTTCCTTCCTTCCTTCTTTCCTTCTTTCTTTCTTGTAAGTAATCTCTTATTTTATTAGTTCCCAAGCGCGTTTGTATAGAGGTACGGTGTTTGTATGATAGCTGAAACCCAGGCCATTAGAAAGAGGTTTTTTTTAGTGGTGGATTGACTTGACAACAGGGTTGCTTTTGTGTGTGTTTTTTGATATTATATAATTTTTTAATTAAACTTCAGCAGTGTTTTAGATTTCAGGTTAAGAAAATAATAATAATCAGGAGATGGGTTTTGTTTTTTTAAGAAAAGAAGCAATCTCCTATATTTTGGGTTTCCTACCCCGCCCCCTGCTTTCACACAGAATTTTTTTTAAGAAAAGAAGATAAATGGTTCCTAAAAATTATAAAATATTATTATTGTAATAGCAAGTTCCTTAGGTTTGATTTTTTTTTGTTTGTTTCATTTTATATCTCTATATACCAGCCCTCCTGGAGAAAAAAATTACATATGTCCAGGATTGTAACTGGATTTGTGGTAATGTTTGTACCCAAATATCAGTCTTGCTCCAACCCTCTATGAATGTGAGGAGGAAGAGATGAAGAGAGGTTAAATCGCAGGGGTTGGGGGAAACAAATGGTATATCAAAAAAGGAAAAAAAAGTTGGCTTGCAGAGTTTGATCGTTGGAAAGTAGGAAGAAATTCTGTTTATATATAAAAGGAAAAGAGAAAAAACCTGCACAGAAATAATATTGTATCAAATCGTTTTGTGGTTTGACGGTGTTTGTGGCTACGTGCGGGGACAGAATGAAATTGTTTGGCGGTTCCCTTTTCTTGCACCCAAAGACCCCAGTTTGACAACCAGGGGTTTTCAGCTCAGTTGCAGTAGCAACCGTGGGGTGGAGTGGGGGGGCCCCCAGATCTTAATATGTTGTTTATTTGTTGCATTTATATCCCTCCTTTCTTCCAGGGGAAGTGCAAGGTGCTTTACATAGTTCTGCCTCTCCCTCTTCCATCCTCACAACAAACCCGTGAGAGAGGGACCAGCCCAGTGTCACCCTGTGGACTTTGCGGCCGAGTTGGGACTGGAACTCCGATCTCCCAGGTCTCGGCCTAAAACACTAACCACTACACCACACTTTCTCCCAATCCCAAGGCTTCCTCCCAAGAATCTCTGAGGGGATGGCATCGCCTTCTGCCACAAGAACTCTGTGCGATAGGTTAAGCCAAGAGATGGCGGCTGGCCCAAGGTCACTCACCAAATGAGATGGCTTCCCACAGTCCTAATACCTCTATGCCACATAATCATTGTGAGCCGTTGGCTAAAGACACACTCGGTCAACTAGTGCCCCCTAGACCTGCCTAACAGTTATAGCTTTGGTCCATTAGGCCTTTTCCAGCTGCAGGCTCATTGAGACAAATCCCCACAACTTCCTGTCCAGAGTTTGTGGTGCCCTGTATCTCCAGCAGGAAATTACCTTAAGAACAGCCTGCTGGGTCAGGCCAGTGGCCCATATGGGTCAGCATCCTTCTCTCCTAGTTGACCAGCCAAGGTGCCTGAGAGAAACCCATCAAGCAGAATTAAGAGCACAAGCATGATCTCCTCTTCTGTGGTTTCCATGAACTGGCATTCAGAAGCATTGCTGCTGTGTAAGTTCAGAAGTTTGAGAAATTTGCGCCACTGTTTCGAAGGCAGACATGGCATTGGCCCTGTACGTTGGGTAGAAGATGCAAAGTTGTATCCTGCTAAATGGTGCCGCTCTTGAGTAGGGGAGTGGTTGTTGCATGGCACTTCTGCAAGAAGCCCCAGCAAGGGGAGAGAGCTGGCATCCTCCACACATCCCATTCCTGGGGTGCACAGGACCCCTGACCATGCTGGCTGGGCCTGATGGGAGTCCTTTGAGTCCAAAAATAGCTGAAGGACCACAGGTTCCCACAGGCTGGCACATAGGGCTGTGCATGGCCCCTGTGATCTAGCTTGGGACCCAATGCAGTCTGCATAGATCTGGACTCACCACTACAAGCCTGTCTTTGTTCCTAGAAAAGGTTGGGGGAACCTGTCTCCTTCCAATTGCTGTTGGATCACAAGTCGTAGAATCCCTGGTTTCTGGGCATCCTCTGGTTGGAGCAGAAGTTACTGTGGGAGTCCAACAATGTCTAGAGGGCATCAGGCTTCCCAACTCTGCCCTAGAACAGCTGGATAAACATAGCACGTCTCCTTTTTAATACAGAACTAGAATCCTCTTAAGTTGGAAAGGACCTCGGGCTCTTCCAGTCTAGCATTCCTTGAAGAACAGCACCCCTCGACCCCAGCCAACGCAGCCAGTGTTTAGCCAAAATGGGAGATGGAGTGCCACAACACCAGGAGGACCACAGCTCCCATGTCTCTAGTCTAAATTACCTAGCTATGCGGTGGAAAATTAGAATCTTGCATTGGTGCATTTGTACTGAAGATGGTGGCATTCCAACCTGGTTAAATCCCGCAACAATCCATGGGTCCAATGGCTTATCTGGATATTAAAAGCACTTCAGGCTACTGAAAAGCCACCAGCCCAGTGTCTGCTGAAGACCAACCCTCAACAGGGATGGTTGGTCATAGAGTGGACCATTGAGGTCTTCTGCAAAGGAGTGTTTTGGTTGAGAACCGCATTAGTGCTTCCTTGCGACACTTTAGTATTGTTTTATTTATTTAAAAACCTTCACCCTCAAAGAGTTCCGTGAAATGGGGTGGAGGTAGACTTCTGTTTTCCTCAAATCCCTTTGCATTTGCCCTCCCTTGTAGACCTCCCCTCCTTCCTGGAAGCCAGCCCCGGCCTGTAGTAGCAGCGGCCTTGAGCTGCTCTGACAACAAGTTTGTTGACACCCCTGCCCTGCGCAGGGTGCAGCAGGACAGCTTGCCCAGGGGAATGATTTAGCTTGCAAGCCGCTTGGCCAGCCTGCCTGTCGCCTGTCCGTTTCTGTGCCTGTCGCCACTCGTAACCTGTGATCTTGCTGTTGCTGTCTGTGTCCCAAAATTTAGGGGCGGGAGGGGAGAGGGGGAGATGCCAGGAGGGCAAACAGGGTTATGTTGCAACGGTCTCTGGCTTGTTTGCAGATTGAGCATCATGCAGTGGTGTCCTCTGACCTGCAATTTGGCAAATGGTTTTAGATCTGGGTCCCTAGAGAGAAGATTCTCCAAAGGAAGAATGCAGGGATCATGGGGTACCTAGGCCAAGTCTCCCCAAGATGGCTAAAGAGTGAGAGGCGAAAAGAGTCCTGTCAGCCCACAGAGTTTGGAATAAACAGTCTGCGGGGCACTTCCCCAGGGTTCAGTTTCCTCAGGGTGAGGGGACAGCAGAGACTTTAAGATCTATAGCTTATTTATGCATATGTACAACCTGAGCCCACGAAGGGGCTCACAGCATGAGCACCCCAAAAAGGTTTTGCCTCTCCCATAGCCATAGCCTTGGATTAAAGCAGATATCAAGCATGTCTCTCCCCCTGAGACTTCTGCCTGCAGCCTGCTCCAAGCTCAGCTCACACACAGCTCTCAACTCTTGCATTTCTCCTCCTAACTACCAGCCAGTTGAGAGAGACTGCACCAACTGTTTGCCGTCTGGCACATAGCCACTTCCTTTGTTACCCTAACAACCCATACTTAGGCCATTACCAAGACACTGGCCTGGCTAGTCCAACAACCGAACCCTTGCTGAATCCAGGAATTGCCGTGTCTCCTCAAACCTAATGCTTACCATTTTTTGACCAAATTGCATTGCAAAAATTAAGGTGTGCATTAGATTCGATGGCACACTTATACTCACCAGTGACTACTTTTTTGGGTTTCAAAGTTCTGAAAATTGAGGCTTGCATTAGATTTGATGGCGCATTAGGCTCGGTACAGCCTCACCCCTACCCACAATACACACACCCTAAAAAACAAAATCTAAAGGCTCCTCCACATGACCTATTTATTTACTGAGCATCATCCTCATTTGCTGGCACACAGCTTTCGTAGAGATCAGGTTATATCTGGTCTCTCTTGGGCATTTGTTCTGATTTTATTTGCTTTATTTGTTCTTTACATTTATAACTCACCTTTTCCTCCAAGGACCTCAAGGTGGGATACATGGTATTCCATCCCCTGTGAAGTTGGTTAGGCTTAAGAGGAAGGGACTAGGTAACCTGGTGAGCTTCCTGGCCTAGTGGAGATTTCAACTTAGTCCAACATGCTAACAACTACAACTCCCTATACATTGGTTTGCAGGGAGGTCATATGACAGTGAGAATCCATCCTGATTTCCTTGCAGGGTAATTATATGTCTTCTTGTCAATCATTCATTCATTCCCCGTTATTCAGTGCATTTTCCCATCACTTTCCTAGCTGTCAAAAGCCCTTTTAAAAAAAAGCGGATTTATTGTGCTCGGGCTGCATCAATAGGAGTATAGCATCTAGATCAAGGGAAGTAATAGTGCCACTGTATTCTGCTCTGGTCAGACCTCACCTGGAGTACTGTGTCCAGTTCTGGGCACCACAGTTCAAGAAGGACACTGACAAACTGGAACGTGTCCAGAGGAGGGCAACCAAGATGGTCAAAGGCCTGGAAACGATGCCTTATGAGGAACGGCTAAGGGAGCTGGGCATGTTTAGCCTGGAGAAGAGGAGGTTAAGGGGTGATATGATAGCCATGTTCAAATATATAAAAGGATGTCACATAGAGGAGGGAGAAAGGTTGTTTTCTGCTGCTCCAGAGAAGCGGACATGGAGCAATGGATCCAAACTACAAGAAAGAAGATTCCACCTAAACATTAGGAAGAACTTCCTGACAGTAAGAGCTGTTCGACAGTGGAATTTGCTGCCAAGGAGTGTGGTGGAGTCTCCTTCTTTGGAGGTCTTTAAGCAGAGGCTTGACAACCATATGTCAGGAGTGCTCTGATGGTGTTTCCTGCTTGGCAGGGGGTTGGACTCGATGGCCCTTGTGGTCTCTTCCAACTCTATGATTCTATGGGTGGCAGCACCCTTTAATCTGCTTTGATTGCACAGGCTCAAGGTTGTGTTCACATCACACAGTTAAAGCACACACATACATCCCTGCAGAATCCTGGGAGCTGCAGCTTACCCCTCGCAGAGCTACAATTTCAATAATGATAATAATATTTGTACCCCACCCATCTGACTGGGTTGCCCCAGGCATTCTAGGAGGCTTCCAACAATAAACTACAGCTCCCGGGATTATTTGGGGGAGGGCGCACTTTATAAACGCATGGTGTGTTTGCAGCCAGAATTTCTGTGTATGTGTTTTGAATCGCACCTGCAAAACACCTGACAGTCTGGAGGGAATGGTGCACGTAACTGATGACCCCGAAGAAGGGAAGGAACAGAAGGAAAGGAAAGCATTGCTTATGTTGAGACTTGGGGTTTGCAGATATTGGGGGAAATGACAGTGAAAGAAAAGCAAGTGCACCAAATAAGAACAGCCAGTTTCCTCCCACATCCTTCACAGCCGTGTGATCTGAAGACAAGGCCATTTTGCTTTTTGGCTCTAGATTGGGGGAGGGAAATTTAGACACAAGGGACTGCCCTCTGTGGTGGATGCCTCCCTGACTTCAAGGAGTCTTACCGTTGGTCCATCCAACTTAGTATTGTGCCTGTTCTCCAAAAAGTCTCAAAGAATATATAGACAGAGGCTCTGAGATCACATTTGCAAGCTCCTTTAGTGCTCTTGGGTGCAGCGCATCAGGTCCTGTAGATTTCAATTCCTTTTAAGTATCCAGGCATTTCCTTATCAC